GAATAAGAAACTGTTTGCTGTAAAGTAGCAAAGACGAGGAAATCTGAACATAATAACTTTTGTCTACTTAAAGACAATAAAAAGTCCAGTCTTTCCTTAACCATATTAAAAATATTATTGATAGAGAAATGCTTTATATATGAGATCACTGGTTTTAGTCCTAGTTTAGTCCTGGAATGGGTTAGTCCTGGTTTTAGTCCTGGTGTTAGTTCTGGTTTAGTCCTGGTTTAGTCCTGGTTTAGACCTGGTTTTAGTTCTGGTTTAGTTCTGGTTTAGTCCTGGTTTAGACCTGGTTTTAGTTCTGGTTTTAGTTCTGGTTTAGTCCTGGTTTAGTCCTGGTTTTAGTTCTGGTTTTAGTTCTGGTTTTAGTTCTGGTTTAGTTCTGGTTTTAGTTCTGGTTTAGTCCTGGACTGGGTTAGTCCTGGTTTTAGTCTTGGTGTTAGATCTGGTTTAGAGGCGCACAGGAGGAAGCGCGGTTTACGCTGCGTACGCGAGAAAACACGATCCACACGCGGCTCACGGGAGGACAGCGATGTCCACGCAGTAACTACAGAAGGAAACGTGGTCCGCGCGTTCTCAGGTTAATGACGATGATGAAGGTGTGTGTTTGTTTTGTGTGTGTGTTTGTGTGTGTTTGTGTTTGTGTGTGTTTGTGTGTGTGTTGTGTGTGTGTGTGTTTGTGTGTGTGTCCCCTCATGTGGCAGGTCACTATAGGACAGTAGTGCAGACATCATGAGTCTATGCAGGTTGTTTTCACCAGTGACATTTAAGTTGTAGGCGATATTATATTTGTTATTTTCTTTTATATTTCACGTCGGGAGAATAATTTCCAAGACACAAATGTGTTTTTACCTGTGCACTGCTGCCTCTGTTCTACTGGCTCTTCCACCTCGTCCATTGTGCGACTGACGCCGCCAACGTTACCATAACGTTTACATCGCTCTTACTGCACGCGTTTTGTGTGGGTTTCCGGCAATGAGTGGAATTACCGAAATAAAAAAATGTATAAATGTGTTTTTGTGTGTGTGTGTTGTTGTCCCAGCAACACATAAAAACAGATTTTATAACTCGCAACTCGCATACAGAAACAGTAAAGTTACAGATTAAAAATGAGATTAACGCGATTAAAAAACATAACGCGCTAAATATGACTGTAAATAATTAATCGCAATTAACGCGATAATTTGACACCCCTATATATATATATATATATATATATATATATATATATATATATATATATATATATATATATATATATATATATATATATATATATATATATATATATATATATATATATATATATATATATATATATATATATATATATATATACATAAAATAGTGTTTGTATAGTGAGTTAAATTAGTGATGTTACAAAGTGATAGTTTTAATGTGAACAGTTCCAGAAATGGAATCATGCTACTACACTGTACTGTACTAAGATGTGAATGTGCTGTGAGCAATACACACAAGTAAAAGAGATATTCAGAGCAGTGAATATTATAGTAGATGTTAGGCATTTAGTTACATTTTATTAAGTGAAAAATACTAAAATCAAATCAAATCTCTGTATCTTCAGAAAAAGGGAGGACATTTAAAAACCACCAAAACACAGGCCACAGATGAACCAACAAAGTAAACCAATAAAAATGATTATAACTTTTCTTTTTTTTCTTCATTGTTCCAGTGAACATTTATCACTTCCTCGGGCTGGTGAGGCAGTAGAGGACTTTGTACAGATGCCCTACCTCCTACTCAGTGCCTTCCTGCATCTACATTTCTGAATTGTTCACTGTGATTCTGTCCTGGTTCATCACTGTATTACACAGTAATAAGTACTTTAAGTATATTTAAACATGTACATTACAAAGTAGAACCATTTCTTATTTCTGACTCCAGAGGCAGAGACCAGAGCATCTTCACTCTGTACCTGTGTTCTCTGTGCTTTGGTGTTCTTTTACTTTGAAGGACTTTCATAATAATAATAATAATTTAATTATATATAAAAATAACAAGATAAAAAGGCACATTCAGCATCATGATCACGTTTCATCAACATGAAAAAGTTACGTTCAGGTTCTAGAGAAAAAACAAGCAGTAGGACATCGATTCCATTTCAAAGTCTAAACATCATTTTATTGCCCGCAAAAGCTCTGCACAGTCCTCTTCAAAATGCTGGGAAAAAGCTGCCCGGTAATCCACAGAAAAGGAGTCACACGGCGGTACAGTCACACTGGAGCCCGCGCAGGACGCGCCGCTTGGTGCTCAAAATGACTGTTTTGATGCCATAAACTCTAAGTAGATGAGGTGGAGAGCTCACGGGAAATAAAATGACACATTCAATATCAGACTTGACCCAGAACTTCAGTACGTCATTTCTCTGTCAGTTTTGGCTCTTGCGTTAAGCTCTTTTAAGAACATCTTAAACTAACACCACTTTTATTTTTTTGGTTATAAGTTAGTTTCTTTTCTTTCTTTTTTTTTTTTTTTTTTTTTGAATTATAGTAGCTAACATTTATTTTGTTTTTTCTTTTATTTGTTTATGTAACCCTTGTACTCCCCTTTAAAATAATCACCTCTGCTCCTTCGTGACAAAAATGTTCTCCAGAAAAGCATGCCATATTATTTTTTTGCTGTACTGATTTTTTATATCAATGTCTTCATTCTAATCATACATACCAAATAATAATAATAATAATAATAATAATAATAATAATAATAATATAATCATAATCATATTTTCACATTTTAACCCTTTAAATGACAGTTTTGTATGTGAAAGTATCAAATAATGTGCATGGGAAAAAAAGCAATCTCTCTCACACACACACACACACACACACACATAAACTCACACACACGCACACACAAACTCACACACCCTGGCACACACACACACACACACACACAGACCTTCAGTGCCCTCTGGAAGTCATCTTTAACACACCCAGACGTGCCTCTGCCTCAGGCTTTCAGACTGGACAGACTTGTTCAAACATTTAATTATGCTCATTTACAGTAGTTTCTATTCATTTAATCTTGTAATGGCAGAGACACAGTAACAAGAAAAATATTGAAAACACAGTATTTTTTCACATAACAATTTTGAAGGGTTTTCAACACCAAAAATTAAAAAAATAAATCAAAAAAAAATAAAAATCTACTGGCAAAGTTATGCCAGGGAAAAAAGCCATTTTGAATGGAAGTCAACGGGACAAACATGTCGGTAAGCACAGGTATGTGAGGATGTTGATTATTAACCACTGATAACCATTCAATTCATGTGATCTTGAAAAAACATATCAATTAAAAATACATTACAAAATACAGACTGGACAATGTTGGTGCTATTTGTCGCAATATAATCAAAGTTATGGAAATAAGAAAAGTGTGATGTATAAAATTGTACCTCGGGGTGTAGGAGGGTTAAAACATGGACTGTGCACAGAAAACATTCACCTCAGACAGAAAAGCTGCTCTGTGCCACATTTAGCTACAAACTCCTTTCCATCTGCAGTCCTCAGGCAAGTACGACATCCAATCAACTATTTACATTAGACCAACTCTAAGAACATTTTATCAGTAACAGTGTCTCTGAAAATAACCACAATCCAGTTCAACATGAAACATATTAAACAATCAACATTCATTCATTCTAATTTCTATAAATACAAGATTTCAGATTCATCATTATCTTCTAAAATAATGTCATCAGTATCCTCTAAAATGTACATTTACCAAATTCACCAGTATAATTATAAAGTAAAATACAAATCATCAACAACAAGTCAAGATAAATGTCATGAGCAAACACAACACATTTACATCTACACAACACATTTACATCTACACAACACATTTACATCTACACAACACATTTACATCTACACAACACATTTACATCTACACAACACATTTACATCTACACAACACATTTACATCTACACAACACATTTACATCTACACAACACATTACATCTACACAACACATTTACATCTACACAACACATTACATCTACACACACATTTACACAACACATTTACATCTACACAACACATTTACATCTACACACACATACATTACACAACACATTTACATCTACACAACACATTTACATCTACACAACACAGTTACATCTACACAACACATTTACATCTACACAATACATGTCCAGTGCAATCAGTCAGGATGTTGAAACAGTTGATGTTTAAGCCTGATGCTGACACGCCTGCTGCTCAGAAGCCGTTGTTCTAGCCCATGAGATAAAGTGTGGGATTTAAAACAAGTTTTCAGTTCAGCTGAAGCATGTTCCAGTTTTTTGCTGCTGTGTCTGAGAAATCGTATCACAGGACGTTTAAAGGAAAGTGGTCAGACCAGAATTTACAGATAAGAGGTTCGAGTCATGTGCTCTGATCTTAACTAACGTTAGGTCAAGCCACAAGAGACCACAAACTAAAAACGAGTTATTGACATGTTCATGTAAAACTTAGAATTGACAAAAAGTTTCAGTTGTGGAAAGTTATAAATTAACTTAAATCTTAGTCATAAAATAAAAAACATAAAACGTGTTTTTAAAGACATTTCTCTTAGAGCAGGTGGAGGATGGGGCAAAGAATCAAAATACAACATTACTACAATAACACAACATTTTTTTTAGGGTGTAGTTATTAACTAGAATACTACCAGTTTATGACATCACAACATGTCACAGAGCATTTACAGCTTTGGAGATGCAGTCAGACTAACAAAGAGTTATTCAGTCATGTGTGAATGAAACAAAACACAACTCCAGGTCTATAACAGGTAACAACAAGTACAACATGGTACAAAGTACATGGCTTAAAGCTCACAAAAATCAATTTTGTGTAATATAATGTATAGCTTTAAGTTATAATATATAGCTTTAAGTTTATATAATATATAGCTTTAAGTTGATATAATAAATACCTTTAAGTTTATATAATATATAGCTTTAAGTTTATTACAGACTCACCCCATCAGACAAAAAGCCGCAGCGAAACCGACAAAAATCTGACTTTTGCTGCACCACATGACTCCTCTCGGGATGTTGTTTCTGCTCTGCGTCTCACACCGTCTGCAGAAGGGGTGGGGCCTGGAGCTGGGATGAACTGTCAGGGGTGGAGCTTCGCAACAGACAGGTGGAGGACAGGTCCAAATTCTACAGTGGAGTTTGCTGTTTAAAGGGCCCATATGACACTATCTTGTGATCTATGTTCTAATGGAGTTTCCTCAGTTGTGTTTTGTTTCATTCACACATGTTTAACACACAAACCCTGCACATTTAGGCTGAGAAACACTTTGTCTGATGTTCATTGAAGAGGACGGGGCAGGTGATATTAAGGCTCTGGTTGTTTGGTCCAGTTTACATGTGGAATAACATCTGTGTGGTCATCTGAAAGAAAACGCACAAATACGTAGATTAAAATATTCTTACTGTTGTAGCACAGTGTTTGTCACAAGGAACAGTGTCTAAGTCACTGATGGCAAAGTAAAAGCTCTTTATATGTGCTTCATCATGAGCTCTTCATCAGGGCTCCAAGCTCAAGAACACAGACTAATAATAAAGTTACTCAAATACATTATGTGTGAATGACACAAAACACAACAGACAACAACAAAAACAACAGTGACAACGACAACAACGACGACAACAACGATAACAACAACAACAACGCCCTCGACGACAACAACAACGACGACAATGACGATCACAACAATGACAATGGCGACAATGACGACGACGACGATAACAACGATGACAACGACAACAACAATAACGACAACGCCGTCTACGACAACGACTACAATGACGACGACAACGACGACGATAACAACAACGACGACGACGATGATAACAACAACGACGACGACGATAACAACGACGACAATGACGACAACTAGGACGACGACAGCAACGACAACAACGACAACAACAAAACAGGTTGACAGGAGTCAGACTGTGTGATGTAGGAGCTTTAAGGACACATTGAAAGGTCATTCTAAAATGCTGTGTTAATCTGGGATTTTGAGGGAGGTCATAGGTCACTGATCTCTGCACATGTGTTCGGTCCACACTGTGACTGCTTTATTCACATTCTGCCATCTAGTGGTCTATTGAAGCATTGCTAATGCAGACTGCAATTGTCAACATGTGCGTCCTACACCACACACAATGGACTCGTGTGAACTTCCAGTCAGTGTAGAACGTTGTTGCCTCATCAAAAACATACCTGGAGTTGTGTTTACCTTGTTTACCTTTAGTTCAGTAGATTCTGAGCCAAACTCATCCAAACGATTCTAGTGAAGGTGTATGGAGTTTAAAAACATAGTGGAGCACTTCCTTTATTTGTGTCCATATCAGTTTGTCAAAGCCTGATCCCGTCAGATCTCAGAAGCTCAGAGTCTGGTCAGTACTTGATGGAGACTCTGGGAAACCCAGGAGCCACAGGAGGCGCCAGTCACAAAAACTGTTGTTGTGTCCTTAGGCAAGACACTTCACCTACATTGCCTAGTATGAAAGTGGTGTGTGTGAGTGATGGTGGTCAGAGGGGCTAAGGGCGCTTCCGTCAGTCTGTCCCAGGGCAGCTGTGGCTACACCACCGAGTGTGGAGTGAATGAAGAATGAACTGTAAAAACATCTTTGTGACATACGTCTGTGAAAAACACTATATAAAATAAAAACGTTCTTACTGTATCACACACACCACATGACATCACAAGGTGGACCAGAGTGTTTTCTGTTTGAGAGAAGATCTCAGCCTAAATGTGCAGGATTTATGTGTTAAACATGTGTGAATGAAACAACTGTTTGTGATGAGGAAATCACATTAGAACATAGATCAGATTTAGGTCCATTAAACCAAAGAAATTCTTGTTCTTTTCTGTAAAATAAAACAAACAAACAAACAAAAAACAACAACAGCAGCAGTGGAACAAGCACAGAACTTTAACTAGAGCAGAGTGCTATACAGAGCTGTCAGAAGTGTCCAAAATCAGATACCAATCGATACTTAAACTAGTATCAACACTAGATACTCATTTGAACAGGATTCAATACTAAAGAAGTTCCACTGACAGGACAGAGATGAACCTGTTTTGGTTGTTCACATTCAGGAACATCACTTTTTCTATTTGGGTGTGTTACAACCAACAAAAGGATGTAGCTGTGTCTAATAACCTGATATTTACAGATGACATGAGTGTGTGATGTAACTTAAGTCAACATGTTTGCTGAAGGTTCATTGTGTCTTCAGTCTTAAGAAAGTGCTATCTGACTTCAGTAACATATACAGTGATGGGAATAACAGTGTTAAAATAAAAATATTACTTTTTTCAGTAATGAGTAACTAATTACTTTTTCTATCATTACCACGTCGTTACCAACATGCCGTGAATGAAGCTGCTCACTGAAGCTGTCATCAGACTTGGCTCACACCACGACTCACACAAACGCAGCATATATATACATATACTATACAAGCTCTGTGTGTACGCCAATGTTATTCATACGAGGAAAACGGTGAATAAAATCAGCTGAAAAACATGCGACAAATCCACTCTTACCTTCAATAAGGACTGAGACAGAGACAGAAATGCTGCGGCTGTCCTCACTCCTCCGTGCTGTTACTATCTTCATAAAGTCACCATATAAACTCACGGCGGAGCTCGTATCACAACAGGACTCATATCGCTCTCTCTACTGCTGGACTTATTTCTCCACTAAAGCATTTGCTCTGCTGTGTGACATGTAAACAAACAGCGCCGTGTGATGATGTCATCGGCCGTGGCCCAGTTTGTTCGTTCGTGCAGCTGTGAGTGCCTTTAAAAAAAAAAGTAATGCAATAGTTACTTTCCCTAGTAACTAGTTACTTTTATAGTGGAGTAACTCTTTTACTAACTCACTTACTTTTTGGGAGAAATACTTACTTTTTCAAAATAATGTGCCCATCACTTCACATCAAACATACTATGATCACATTTTACCTTTGATTGTTTTGAAAATATTGTATTTGCCCCAAATAACACTAGAACATGTTTTATATTTAATTTATTTGTCACAATGAGGGACACGAGGACACTGAACAAACTGCTCTCCAACATGAACACTCCTGCTCCCCCACTGCACCAGAGGGACAGATAATACTCCCTACAACTGTACAACAACTCACCCTTATGGAACAGATAATACTCCCTACAACTGTACAACAAGGCAAGGCGAGTTTATTTGTATAGCACAATTCGTACATAAAGTAATTCAAAGTGCTTTACAGAATAAGAAATACATTAAAATCATAATAAAAACAAATCAAAACATAAATAATCATGAAGATTAAAATTAAAAAAGAGAGACATAAATTGGAGAGAAGAGTGCGGAATGAAAACCTTTCAGTTATATGCACAGTTAAACAGAAATGTTTTGAGCCTGGATTTAAACAGCGTCACAGAAGAGGCCTGTCTCATATGTTCAGGAAGACTGTTCCAGGTTTTAGCTGCATGAACCTGAAACAACTCACCCTTATGGAACAGATAATACTCCCTACAACTGAACAACAACATGCACGACCCGAGTGTTGACGGCTGGGACTCCGCTTTACGCAGTTCACTTTGTGGAGTTTAGATGACTTGGCACAATGCCAAGAGAACGGTAGAGAAAGCAAACTTGGAGTTAAACTTATATGTAGAATGCTTTTATCTTATCCTGCTGTTGAAGGTGCATCACTGTGTGTAAAGGTCCTGAACAGGTTTGAAGGCTGTACCAAGTGCTGAAGTTTCTTTAGTGCATCACATGTGCATATTAAACATTGAATTTATATATTTGTTTGACTATTGCACATTGAGTTGTTTAACCACTGAAATCTTATGTATGTTTAAAGCTACCACTGTGTGAAACATGTTTGCTTTTGAGGTAATTCTTTGCAGATATAGGTTGTGTCCTTTTAAGGAATTTCATTGTAAAGCAGCAGCAGTGGAGATGGTTCGGCCTGGTGTGAAACTAAACAAACTGGTGATTTACATTGGGCTGCTGTCAACTCCCTCAACCTAAAGGAATGCAGAGATATTCCAAGGAAGATTCAAGGCGTTACCTGTCCAACATATTATTTGCATATTCATATGAATGTCTATAAAACCTGGGTTAAGTTAGTTCAGAGGCAGTCAGATTGCCTGATCTTAAGACCTCTGTAGCCATAGGCAGTTAGGGACAACAATCTGACCCAGAGCTCTGTATTAGAATTGTATTGTATAGGGAATTAATTCTTTTTGTTTTTAATCGATCGATTCCAGTGGTTATTTTTAAGAGAACACGCTGAACGGTTTTTTTGAGGATACCTAACAGGTTAGACGGGAGTTACCTGTCACTGCAGATGGAGGCGCGCGGCACCATGCACTTGACTCAAGGTGCATTGATGCGGCCAAGCAGAGAAACTGTTAAAGTATGTTAATCATGTCCTCAGTTGTATGTCACAGGGAGGTGCTACAGGTTACAGGTTACAGAAGGCAGGTGTGTGTCAATTTATATATTTTTGTTCACTTGAGCTTGCCGTAGTTCTCGGAGCCAGTTCTCCAATAAATATGCCAAAAAGCGGCCGATTAAATGTCATTTTTCATCTGCTCTTTTTCACCCAAATGCAACGCTGGCTGTAACAAAAGTACACCGTAACTCAACTTTAAAAATAATGAAAAACTGGACTGTGTGGCAATTTGGACATTTGTGTGAATGGACAGGAGCAGGAGACCTTCATTACCTGTCTCCAAAGACCAGGGTGCAGGAGAACACGCTGTGAAGCCCAGTGTGTTGCGAGAGTCTCAGTCAGACAGAGGCACTGAAAGGATCAATAATTTAGAAATTTGGATATTTTCATGAATAAGGGCTCAAGAATTGGAATTTTACGGGGTCATGGAGGACAGAGCCTCTTACACAGGGACCCAAAATGTATGTGGACAAAAGGTTGAGCAGCGAGAAAGGAGCTCTGATAAAAGCTTCTAGAGAGCCGCTTCTCACAAGATACTTTTTACAGGATTGCATGAGTTTCTCTGGATTGCGGGATAATTTGTTGGGATTCTTTTTATCACCCCACAGCCCTGGCGGGGCTCCGTAGTAATGTAACTCTTGTATATTGTTCTCAAGTCTCATGAGGCTGTGGGTATGGCGGGTTACTGTTACACATCATCTTTGACGGACTATTTGTTCTCTGTTCTGTTCTATTTGTTCACCTTTCATAAACCCAGGTGCGCTGATCAAATGCGCTTCCCCAAAACAACAATAGAACCAACACCATTATGCAGAATCCAACATAACATAATATAAACTGTTAAAAAAATGAGTGCAAAATAATATAAATGAATTCTCCAAAATAATGTGCAAAATAACAATGACCCAAAACAATGTTGATACATCAAATAATATATGTCCAATATATATGTCAAAGGTTACAATATGTTTTAGTGAAAAGGGTCTTCAATTGAAAATGAGCTGTTTGGTGGAAGGGCGCCCCCTGCTGTGTGCGGTCAACACAGCAGGGGGCGCCGTTCGACCATTTTCTGATTCCAAACAAATAACGAGAAGGTTCAGCGTTTGTGGATCATAACTTTGGAGATTTCTGTCTAAAAACAGTGAATCTTCCACAGAGTGAAAGGCCCCTGCCCTCCACCTGAGACGATGCCATGAGACTGTAGAACGTGAGCGCGGCCTGCTGGTGTGTTAAAGTGAGAAACCTACAGTCTAGTGTTTGATTGCGTAAATGTTACAATTATATAAATGGAGAAGGAGGACAGATTTCCCTTCGTTTCCTTCGCACTGTGGTCTCGTCCTTCTCACTCCACAGGGGACTACACACTGTCTCTGGTGACTCTGTCTCGCCTCGGGGCCATGGCAGTGTTCTTATGACAGACCCACACTCAGGACGCGTCTCTCCGGTTTGGTCAAACGGATCGTCCCTCGTTTGGAATGCGCCAGCTCCGCCCGTCGCCCCGCCCACGCCGCAGGTGCGTCCCAAACAAACGCGGAAGTTTTGGAACCGACGCGCCGCTCCTCGGCTGCTCTTCTTTCCACGGAGTTCACCTCGTTTCCCCCCCGGCTCTGAGCTCCGTTCTCCGGTGTGCGCTCTGACAGAGAACCGGCTCTGGGCCCCGCTTTCCGCTCCGACAGAGTCCCAGCGCCATGTCCTCGCCCGAGGAGCTCCAGCTCAGTCCCTCGGCCGGGGCAGAGCCGCAGGACGGTGCCCTGAAGCCGTCCACAGTGAACCGTGTGCTCATGGAGTTCCTGATGTACCTGGGCCGGAGCGTGCTGCTCCTCTACCCCGTGTACCTGACGGGCTCCCTGGGGCTGAGCGTGAGCTGGGTGCTGCTGGTCATGCTGCTTCTCACCTGGTGGAGCAAGAACCGCGAGTGGAAAGAGGCGCGCATCGACTCCGCGCTCGAGCTACTGGACAACGAGACCCGAGTGATCCACGCGGAGCTCCAGAGCACCCTGCAGCACGCGTCCTGGGTGAGGGTCTGCTCATGTCACTACAGACCAGGGGCTTGAGGGGGAGGCGAGGTTTAGGCTACATGTTCATCTGAGAGTTTAAGAGACCTGACAGACCGTACAGCTGAAAGGTCCACAAGAATGAGACCAGGTCTAACCCAGGTCTTCTAGCCTGTTCTAGACCAGGACTACGAGACCTGGTACCGCACTAAGTCCAAACCAGCTCCACGTACTTGGAACTAAACCAGGTCTTAAACCAGGTCTGTGCTGTCGCCATGGTGACAGCGACTCATTTGCATAAACAGGTTAAACGGGTGTGAGCTAAATGTGCTGTTTGGGATCTGACCTCACTCCTCACCACTCCTACACCAGACTCAGTGACAGAGCTCTAATAAACACAAAGATGAACCAGTGTGTCAAACGAGCAGTTCACACTCAACTCTACGAGACTTATTTAAACCATTTCAAAGGCATTCAGGGTTACTGTGTCACAGAGGAGGGAGAGTGGTGCAGAGGAATGAGAGGAGGGTGCAGAGGAGGAGGGAGCGTGGGTGCAGAGGAGTAAAAGCAGTACTAAAATTCTAAAAAAAAGTGTCTTTTATTTCAGGTTCATTTTCCTGAGGTGGAGAAAGTGGACTGGGTCAATAAGGTACTGTGGTATTTTTGTAACCTGTATTTATATAATGTTTTTTATCATCATGATCAATTTTATCATTTGCATGATTAAAGAAATCCTCCATTCATTGTTGTGGATAACATGAGGGGTGTTTCCAAAAGCCTGAACTTTTTAAACACTGGCAGTGATCAAAAAAGGGACAGAATTGTGATTTTTCACCAGCCTCACTTCTGCAACAAAGATCAGGCCAGGATGTTTAACATAAACCACGTCTAAGCCATAAACCTGGTCTACATCATAAACCTGGTCTACATCATAAACCTGGTCTACATCAGGTCTAAACCAGATCTAAACCAGGCCTAAACTCCTGTAGAAGTTCTATAAGAAGGTACAGTTCTGTTTGTATTTGTGTTATTTATTAGCAGTGCATATTAAAAAACAACATCATGTAAGAGACAAACATGGACTTGTAAATATGTCCGATTATTGCCAAAGCTCATTTCCATCCTTAATCCCTGATGGACCAAAGCCACAACACGTACACATGTGATGTAGAGTTAGTGTAAGTATAAGAAGTAGCAGCAGCAGTAGTAGTACGTACAGTAGTACATACTGTAGTGTGTACTGTAGTACATACTGTAGTACATACTGTAGTACGTACTGTAGTACGTACTGTAGTACGTACTGTAGTGTGTACTGTAGTGTGTACTGTAGTACATACTGTAGTACATACTGTAGTACGTACTGTAGTACTAGTCTAGTGATGTGGTCTCTGTGGTTCGTCAGGTTCTGGAACAGGCTTGGCCCTTTTTTGGAATGTTTATGGAGAAATTATTAAGAACCAACATTCAGCCTGCTGTCCGACAGTCCAACCCCGCTCTGAAGACCTTCACCTTCACCAAGGTGCACTTTGGACACGTGGTAAGTAACACACACACACACACACACGCACACATCTACACACACAGATGCACACATACACACACATACACATACATGTATGCTCACCCACATGCACACACGCACAGTGTCCCTGTCACACACACGTACAGGTGAAGTGTCCCTGTCACACACACGTACAGGTGAAGTGTCCCTGTCACACACACGTACAGGTGAAGTGTCCCTGTCACACACACGTGCAGGTGAAGTGTCCCTGTCACACACACACGTGCAGGTGAAGTGTCCCTGTCACACACACACGTGCAGGTGAAGTGTCCCTGTCACACACACGTACAGGTGAAGTGTCCCTGTCACACACACGTGCAGGTGAAGTGTCCCTGTCACACACACGTGCAGGTGAAGTGTCCCTGTCACACACACGTGCAGGTGAAGTGTCCCTGTCACACACACGTGCAGGTGAAGTGTCCCTGTCACACACACGTGCAGGTGAAGTGTCCCTGTCACACACACGTGCAGGTGAAGTGTCCCTGTCACACACACGTGCAGGTGAAGTGTCCCTGTCACACACACGTGCAGGTGAAGTGTCCCTGTCACACACACGTACACGTACAGGTGAAGTGTCCCTGTCACACACACACGTGTACAGGTGAAGTGTCCCTGTCACACACACGTGCAGGTGAAGTGTCCCTGTCACACACACGTGTACAGGTGAAGTGTCCCTGTCACACACACGTGCAGGTGAAGTGTCCCTGTCACACACACGTGCAGGTGAAGTGTCCCTGTCACACACACGTACAGGTGAAGTGTCCCTGTCACACACACGTACAGGTGAAGTGTCCCTGTCACACACACGTACAGGTGAAGTGTCCCTGTCACACACATGTACAGGTGAAGTGTCTTGTATGTTTCAGCCCCTGAGGATCACTGGGATGAAGGCTTACACACATGAGGTGGATCAGAGAGAGGTGATTCTGGATCTTAATATCAGGTGAGAATCTAAAATAAATGTAACATTGTGTATAAAATACTCACAGATGAAATGGAAGGTCATTTGACTCTGTTTGGGATTTAAGTCATAATGTTGTTTCCTCATCACACACACAGTTTGTGTTCTGTTTCACACGTTTAACACACAAACCCTGCAGATTTAGGCTGAGTTCTTCTGTCAAACTGAAAACACCACCTTGTGATGTCATACAAAACGTGCACCAGTGTGTTTTTAAACTCCACACACCTTCACTAGGATCATTTACTCTTGAATTCCAGGGCTGAAACCTGGGATTGCCAGACTACGCAAAAAAGGTAAAAGGAGCTGTTAACTTGAAAACTACAACTACATGACATCACAAGGTGGAACAGAGCATTTGGAGCATTGGAGATGTAAACAGACTAAAAGGAGTTTCTCAAATATCTGTGAATAAAACAAAACACAACTCCAGGAATGTTTTTAAGGACATAACACCATTATGACATGGCTTAAGGCTCACAAGAGTCAGTTTTGCAGAATATAGGACCTTTAATGTGCGTTTTTAGAGTTATTGATTGAGAGTAACTCGATATGTCCTGGCTACTTGTCTACAGTATTGACTTTGTACTTTCCATCTTAGGTATTTCAGGTTTTACAGCAGCTGCAAGCTTCAAATAAAGACAGTGTCTTTAATTTGAAGCTGAAATGATCAGGGTTAAGGTTGGGGTTTAGTTTAAGCTTAGACAAGTCAAGTAGTGACTATGGTCATGGTGAAGATCAGTCTCCAGGAAATGAATAGAAGTCAATGGAATGTCCCCAAGAAACCATGGAAACCGTGTGTGTTAGTCTTGTCACAATACCGACATTTCAAACTCGTTTTCGATGCTAAAGAATAGATTCGATACTCAATACCATTTTCAGTATGGTTCAGATTTTCATTTATTTCATGTCCTTGTGGAGAAATTTGGCTCAATGTGGAGGTCAGCAGCATTAACATAATGTAAAGACATGATATAACAAAAGGCAAAAGAAGAACATATAAAACTGGACAATATACACAATCATTTTATGGAGTGGGGTATGATCAGGTTTTTGTACCAAAGGAACTCTGTATCTCCTCCAGACTGCAGGAGCTCATGTGTGTTAGCAACAAAAGAGAATGTGATTTTCCACATTAAATGGTAGAACTTTCTTTGCTGCTCTCATGTGTGTTATATGTGTGTAATGGTCAGTGGTGCAGTAGGTTCATAGTGTCCGTGTGTGTGTACTGGTCTATGTGCTCTTGTTCTGATACAGCTCAGGATCATTCTAAAGACGTTCACAAAAGGTTCATTTCTGTGAATGGGACTTTTAGAGTGTGGCTACCTGCTCAAATGAGTATCTAGTGTGTTTAGCATTAATGTGTGTATGTGTGTGCATGTGTGCGTGTGTGTGTGCATGTGTGTGCGTGTGTGCAATGTGTGTGTGTGTGTGTGCATGTGTGTGAATGTGTGTGTGCGTGTGTGTGTGTGTGTGTGCGTGTGTGTGTGTGTGTGTGTGTGTGTGTGTGCGTGTGTGTGTGTGTGTGTGTGTATGTGTATGTGCAGTTGGTCTGGAGACGTGGACATTGACGCAGATGTGAAGCCTCCCATCACCGCCGGAGTGAAAGGGCTCAAAGTAAGTCTCTGACAGTGATGGTGTGTTCCAGTCGTCCTCAGACCATGGACCAGTTGTGACCATGGAAGTATAACAAGATCTCGAAGATGAACCAAAGATGGCCCTGCATTATTTTCAATAGACTGTGCTCAATGGAGCAAAAATCCCCCAAAATATTCTTTCTTCCACATTATATCCTCAATACAGGCTAGCCCCGCCCACCATGTGATAACAAAAACCTGCACTGGGTGATCAGTTCTGTCCAAGCAGAGCGATGCTGCTACAGCGAGCTCAGATCGGGTGGATGACCTGTCAGACAAACATAGACAGTTTGAATTCCCAAAAATGCTTTGTACACGCCTCGTTCTTCAGCAATAACATGAACATGACACTCTGTGGGAGAATTGTTTCTGGGCTGGAGCTGCTGGAGCTGCAGTAATTGGAGCGGCCACTAGTCGATCTCACACCAGAACAGTCTCCATATCTTCTCCAGGTCTTATTATAGATCCATGGTTCTGACGTGTACATGATGACCGGAACACACAAAGATCTCAGAATTTCTACTCAGAAACTCAGAGAACATTTCAAAGTCTGAGTTTGAAAATGCAACATGGCGGCTCTAAACGCAGGAGGAGTTAAAATATGAATTAAATATTTGTTCAAATATTGCTAACATGTACTCAGCGCTAATGCCAACAAAAGCACAAAACCTCTCTCAAAAGTTGCTGTATAAACTGTTAATGTTAAAGATGAATTGGATCCTCGTTCTGGCTGATTTGAGCACTTTCCTCGTATTTGTTACTTTATGAATCCTTTACTGTAATACTTCAGTCCATTTTTTTCACTGGAGCGACAACTGATATTTAACCTGCAGATGACGTCATTCTGAGATCCAGGTTCCACTTGAACGCAGCGTAACATACTTCAGGACATACTGCACACTTTACTGCACACTTTACTGCACACTTTACTGCACACTTTACTGCACACTTTACTGCACACTTTACTGTACACTTTACTGTACACTTTACTGCACACTTTACTGTACACTTTACTGCACACTTTACTGCACACTTTACTGCACACTTTACTGCACACTTTACTGCACACTTTACTGTACATGTGTCATGTACTGTAACATGTACACACATGTTTTACACACAACTCCAGTCTCTCTCCTGCTCTCCTCAGCTCCTCTCCAACTAAATACCACACACCAGACCTCCTGCTCCTGGCACACTTAACCCAGAGATGCTGAAGGGTCAAATGCAAGTTTAAGGCAGAGATGCTGACGGTTAGGTCAAATGCAGGTTTAACGTTGAGACACTGAAGGATGGGTCAAATGCAGAATGAAGATATCCCTCTTAACATCAATATTATGAACTCTGATCTATTCTGCAAACTGGACTTTTCAGATCTTCTCACCATGCTGGATTAGTTTCTTCTCACTGACACACTGAACTTGAATCCAGGAGAAGAAAGATGGCTCAAATATTCATGAATCGCTCCAAATACAAGAGGTTATTTTTTCGATCCACAGTCATTTTCATCTCTCCTGGTACACGCCCAGTATGACGTACGCACTTCCTTCTCCAGTTTGATTTAATATCGGTGATACACGTAGGATTCAGCAGCATTACGTCGTCATTTTGGTCCAAATGTAAAAAGTGAAACAAGTGTAAAAAGCGTACTGTACCGGAGGAGTCACATCCTGCGCCGCTTTGTTGTCATGACGTTTACAGTGACGTCAGCTCCACTGGATAACGCAGTTTTTTAACACAGAACTTAACACACTTGTTTCTGTTAAGTTGTTTTTAGATCACCATGTTTTTAGATAGTCAATATTGTTATTTCAAATGTCCATTATTGATATATTTTAAACAACATAAACATAATGACGGGGATCAGAGGTTAGAACTATAGAGCCCACACTCACTACAGATCTGATATAACATGTAAAACGGACATTAACTGTTGAATTGTAGAGATCATTTATTTGAGACCAAACTGCACTGAGTGATTCTGTGTCTGTCTCCAGCTGCAGGGGATGATTCGCGTGATTCTGGAGCCCCTGATTGGCCAGGTTCCTTTAGTGGGTGGAGTCACCTTCTTCTTCATCAGACGCCCTGTGAGTTTTTTTTACATTTCATTTGCTACGTACAACACACACACAGACATTGGATAAGACAGGACAATACAGTAAGTACAATAGGGAACAATACAACACAAACACCGCCACAGCAGACGAGGTGTAAAGTGTGTGTGTGTGTGTAAGAGTGTGTATGTATGAGTAAGAGTGTGCGGTATCAGTGTCAGTGAACATAAATGATTAACTATGTATAGTAATGTGGAGATTCTTAACAGTGTATTGGAGGGATAAGCTCAATGTTGAGAAGAATGAAAACTATGGCAATAATAAGAGTACAAATGGCAGTCTGTAGAGCTACAAGTGAAAGAGGAAGAGGTGGTGGAGCTTCGTTATGTTTGTTAATGAGTACTTTGGATTGGTCTTTAAAGGGACAGTCCAGAATTTTGGACATAGGACTTCATTTCCTAGTGAGCCAGAGTGTTGGAGACGTGTGGAGACACTTTTTGAAATATTCCATCCAGTCCTTGTATTTGCAGAGGTCACTGGTGTTAGACTAGTGCATGTCAATGGTCATAGTTCTCCTGCCACTAAAAACAGTCTTACCCACTCCACAAAACACCCCAAACAAATCTATTATTACACCAGACTGTCCATGTGAATGTCTGTGTTGATAGAATCATTTTAGAAGTAAAACCAGCCTTGCATTTGAAGGATTTCTGTGTGAGCAGCAGCAGTGAGTTGTACTTCCTGATAGAAAGTTTGGCAGTGGTGGACTGATATATGAGAAAATAGTCCCTCAACATGTGACGATTCATGCGATGTAAGGTTAGTTTTATTTCAAACATTATTCTATCAACTAGAGCCCGACCGATATGGATTTTGTTGTGGCCGATATGAAACTGATATAATGGGAGTTGGTGCTGCCGATAGCCGATATAATCACCGATGTATTTAGTGATGTAAAAATTCACTGTAAATCTTGAATTGTTTAAAAAACTTAGGTTTGGCTCTAGTGGATTCTAAATTGAGTTTATTTAGGCAACATTTATTGTTGTTCTGACTCTTTACATCATATTTACACACAGTAGATTGGCCTAATGGTATTTTTTGCATCACATTCTAGCTACTAGTGATGGGTATTCCAGTTTTTTTTTGGAGAACCGTCTCTTTTGGCTCAGCTCACTAAAGCAGCTGGCTCTTTCAGCTCCCAAGCGACTCTTGAGATTGTTTTGTTGCAAGCAGGACTAAACCAAAACTGAACCAGGACTGAAAAAGGACTAAACCAGGACTAAAACAGATTTAAACCATGTGTGAAACAGGACTAAACCAGAACTGAACCAGGTCTGAGTGTCGGGACTCGGTCTCTCCCTCACTCGAGCCCAAGATTATTTGGTTTATTGATTTTATGCTGAACTGCAGCCAAATATGCACTTTTTAAAAAAATCCTATGCAAACACAGATTTCTGAAAGTTTTGTTTTCAGCCGCTGCTGCTGTCAAACTACGGGTTGAAGAGAAAAAGTGAGAAAAAGAGAAAACCCTGCTCCCAATAAGAAACATGCTCCCGTTGTTCGCTTCAAAGAGCCGGCTCTAAGAGCCGCTTCGATCGCGACCGACCCATAACTCCTAAATAGTAAAGAAACTACTGCTATTAGCTTTAGCCATAAAAACGTGCACCATCCATCCATCCATTTTCGTCCGCTTATCCGGGGCCGGGTCGCGGGGGGAGCAGTCTAAGCAGGGACTCCCAGACTTCCTTCACCCCAGACACGTCCTCCAGCTCCTCCGGGGGGACCCCGAGGCGTTCCCAGGCCAGCCGAGAGACATAGTCCCTCCAGCGTGTCCTGGGTCTTCCCCGGGGCCTCCTCCCGGCGGGACATGCCCGGAACACCTCCCGAGGGAGGCGCCCAGGAGGCATCCGGAACAGATGCCCGAGCCACCTCAACTGGCTCCTCTCGACGTGGAGGAGCAGCGGCTCTACTCCGAGCTCCTCCCGTGTGACTGAGCTCCTCACCCTATCTCTAAGGGAGCGCCCAGCCACCCTGCGGAGGAAACTCATTTCGAGCGCTTGTATCCGCGATCTCGTCCTTTCGGTCACTACCCAGAGCTCATGACCATAGGTGAGAGTAGGAACGAAGACTGACCGGTAAATCGAGAGCTTCGCCTTTCGACTCAGCTCCCTCTTCACCACAACGGTCCGATACAGCGACCGCATCACTGCCGAAGCTGCACCGATCCGCCTGTCAATCTCACGTTCCGTCCTTCCCTCACTCGTGAAACAAGACCCCGAGATACTTGAACTCCTCCACTTGAGGCAAAGACTCCCCACCCACCCGGAGAGGGCAAGCCACCTTTTTCCGGTCGAGAGAACCATGGCCTCGGACTTGGAAGAGCTGATCTTCATCCCAGCCGCTTCACACTCGGCTGCAAACCGCCCCAGTGCACATTGCAGGTCCTGGTTCGATGAAGCCAACAGGACAACATCGTCCGCAAACAGCAGAGATGAAATCCTGTGGTCCCCAAACCGGACCCCCTCCGGCCCCTGACTGCGCCTAGAAATTCTGTCCATAAATACAATGAACAGAACCGGTGACAAAGGGCAGCCCTGGCGGAGTCCAACATGCACCGGGAACAGGTCTGACTTACTGCCGGCAATGCGAACACAGCTCCTGCTCCGGTCATACAGGGACCGGACAGCCCTTAGCAAAGGGCCCCGGACCCCATACTCCCAGAGCACCCCCCACAGGACACCACGAGGGACACGGTCGAATGCCTTCTCCAGATCCACAAAACACATGTGGACTGGTTGGGCAAACTCCCATGAACCCTCGAGCACCCTATGGAGAGTGTAGAGCTGGTCCAGTGTTCCACGGCCAGGACGAAAACCACACTGCTCCTCCTGAATCCGAGGTTCGACTATCGGCCGGATTCTCCTCTCCAGTACCCTGGCATAGACCTTACCGGGAAGGCTGAGAAGTGTGATCCCCCTATAGTTGGAACACACCCTCCGGTCCCCCTTCTTATACAGAGGGACCACCACCCCGGTTTGCCAGTCCAGAGGTACTGTCCCCGACCGCCACGCGATGTTGAAGAGGCGTGTCAGCCAAGACAGCCCCCACAACATCCAGAGACTTCAGGTACTCAGGACGGATCTCATCCAACCCCGGAGCCTTGCCACCAAGGAGCTTGCCAACCACCTCAGTGACTTCGGCCAGGGTGATGGATGAGTCCGCCTCCGAGTCCCCAGCCTCGGCCTCCTCCTCGGAAGACGTGACGGTGGGATTGAGGAGATCCTCAAAGTATTCCTTCCACCGCCGGACAACGTCCCCAGTCGAGGTCAGCAGCTCTCCCCCGCACTGTAAACAGTGTTGGTGAAGAACTGCTTTCCCCTCCTGAGGCGCCGGACGGTTTGCCAGAATCTCTTTGAGGCCGTCCGATAGTCCTTCTCCATGGCCTCCCCGAAACTCCTCCCAGCTCCGAGTGTTTGCCTCCGCGACCACACGGGCTGCAGCACGCTTGGCCCGCCGGTACCTGTCAGCTGCCTCAGGAGTCCCCCGAGCCAGCAAGGCCCGATAGGACTCCTTCTTCAGCTTGACAGCATCCCTTACTTCCGGTGTCCACCACCGGGTTCTGGGGTTGCCGCCGCGACAGGCACCACAGACCTTACGCCCACAGCTCCGAGCAGCTGCATTGACAATAGAGGCCGAGAATGAAGCCCACTCGGACTCCATATCTCCAGCCTCCCCCGGAATCCGGGAGAAGTCCTCCCGGAGGTGCGAGTTGAAGGTCCCTCTGACAGAGGCTCCGCCAGACGTTCCCAACAGACCCTCACTACACGCTTGGGCCTGCCAGGTCTTTCCGGCTTCCTCCTCCGCCAGCGAACCCAACTCACGACCAGGTGGTGATCAGTTGACAGCTCAGCCCCTCTCTTCACCCGAGTGTCCAAGACACGCGGCCGGAGATCAGATGACACGACGACAAAGTCGATCATCGACCTCCGGCCTAGGGTGTCCTGGTGCCACGTGCACTTATGGACACCCTTGTGTCCATATGGTGTTTGTTATGGACAAACTGTGACTAGCACAGAAGTCCAATAACAAAACACCACTCGGGTTCAGATCGGGGAGGCCGTTCCTCCCAATCACCCCTCTCCAAGTGTCACTGTCGTTGCCCACGTGGGCGTTGAAGTCCCCCAGGAGAACAACGGAGTCCCCGGTCGGTGCACTGTCTAGTACCCCTCCCAAGGACTCCAAGAAGGCCGGGTACTCAGCACTGCTGTTCGGCCCGTAGGCCGACACCACAGTGAGAGACCTGTCCCCGACCCTGAAGGCGCAGGGACGCGCGACCCTCTCGTTCACCGGGGTGAACTCCAACACACAGCGACTGAGCTGTGGGGCAATGAGCAGGCCCACACCAGCCCGCCGCCGCTCCCCGCGGCCAACGCCAGAGAAATGGAGAGTCCAGCCCCTCTCAAGGAGTTGGGTTCCAGAGCCCAAACTGTGCGTGGAGGTGAGGCCGACTATATCTAGTCGGTAACGCTCAACCTCCCGCACAAGCTCAGGCTCCTTCCCCCCCAGCGAGGTGACATTTCCATGTCCCCAGAGCTAGTCTCCATGTCCGGAGATCCGGTCGCCGAGGCCCCCGCCGTCGACTGCTGCCCAGATCTCTCTGCACCGGCCCCATATGGATCCTCCTGCGGGTGGTGGGCCCACGTGAGGACGGCCCACGTCGCTCCTTCGGGCTGAGCCCGGCCGAGCCCCGTGGGGGAGGCTCGGCCACCAGGCGCTCGCTGGCGAGCACCCACCCCAGGCCTGGCTCCAGGGTGAGGCCCCGGTGACGCCAATCCGGGCGACGTAACTGGCCTTGCTCGTACACTCATCATAGGGCTTCTGAACCGTTCTTCGTCTGACCCGTCCCCCCGGACCTGTTTGCCTTGGGTGACCTACCAGGGGCATGAAGCCCCCGACAACATAGCTCCCGGGATCATCGGGCACTCAAAACCCCTCCACCACGATTGACGGTTAAAAACGTGCACGCCAAGGTAATTAATTATATGCATAAATGTGGATCATTCACACGTCTATTCACAGCTCATTTACATATCAATGCAGGTCCAGTAACAAATATACGGCCAATATAGTCACTTTACAATAGACCAATAGAAAACATCCTGTTTATGTGTGAGAGCTACAGCAGCTAATCGCTAATAACAAATAGCCAAAACTAGCTTCAAAGTTGATGTATTTCCAACACTTAGCGTCACACAGTCTCCTCCTCACATCACAAGTCTGAACTAATAAATGTCCTTTTAATCCAGACTCAAACCGATTGTCCGTAAAAAGAAAATAATCTCAGTGTTGCGCACCGCTGCGGGTGTAAACAAACACACGTGAGTGACGTGACTCTGTGGTGTGTTCAGGGACAGTACGGACACACACACAGACAAATGACTCCGCAGATAAATACTGATGCAGATGCAGACATTTATCTGTCTGTAAATTGGATTAAAAGAACAGAATGTAGAGAATCTAAGCTTGATGACGAGGTATAACGTGCCCACGTGAAATATCGGCCCATATCAGCAAGCATATCGGCCGATAGCCGATATGACTCCAGGTGCCCATATCAGCCAGTAATATCGGCCAGCCAATATATCGGTCGGGCTCTACTATCAACACAGATATTCACATGGACAGTCTGGTGTAATAACAGATTTGTTTGGGGTGTTTTGTGGAGTGGGTAAGACTGTTTTTATTGGCAGGAGAACTGTGACCATTGACATGCACTAGTCTAACACCAGTGACCTCTGCAAATACAAGGACTGGATAGAATCTTTTTTTTTAAAAGTGTCTCAACACGTCTCCAACACTCTGGCTCACTAGGAAATGAAGTCCTATGTCCAAAATTCCAGACTGTCCTTTTAAGCCTTCCATTTATTCATGTGCCCAAAAGCCTTACCTTAAATGACAGTGTAAGAAAATGTTTGTTTTTTTTCCCCCCAGTGTGCAGTTGTGTATGTGTGCCTGGCTTTGTGAGGTGCATTAAAAAAAGGAGAGACTTGGGCGCATGAGAACTCGGATAGGTCCTTTGTTTTGTCAAATTAGATTAAAAAACAAAAAAAAAAAAGAAAGATTTATTATTGTTTTTATTTGTAGATTGACTGACTTTAATTAGTCGTTATCTCACATAAGTTTTTGTAATTCATGTATTTATTTATGCAGTTTACTAGGTTTATTAATATTTCTCATCCCATCCCCATCAGCTCCCCAAGAGCAACAAACCCCCATTATGTTTTATTTTTTATGTGAGATAATGTCATTTCTAGGGAGAAAGAAAAAAAAAAAGAAAAGTCTATGTTGTGGTAGTTTGTAGAAATGACGTGAGTGGAGTCCAGACTGAGAGAGGTTCGATCAGTGATTGATTATTGGTATTTTGGAGAGATTCTGTTGAGATATGATCCATGAGCCCAGTAAGTTTCACTGCAGTTCAACTTTGTTTTACTTTTAAAGTGCACATGACAGGTTTATCATAGTTTTATATCCGTTGCGTGAGAGTTTGTTTGGGAAAAAACTAAAGAAAAGCACAAAAAACAGGAAGTTGCTCTGAGTTGTAAAACAGAATCCCTCAGAATCCCTCTGCCTATGTCATTAACAGGAAAACTCCATCCAAAATGCAGCAAAAATCAATGTTTGTGATTCTTAAGTGAACAGCTTCTTTTTCCTTTAGTTCAGCAGTGATGAGTAGAGTAGGGCAATTCCAGGGTTGAAATGATCCAAATGATATGGAGTTTATGGAGTTTAAAAACACAGTGGAACACTTCCTGTATAGACCAGTGCATCACTTTGTTTTGCTTTCAGACTCTGCAGATCAACTGGACTGGAACCACCAACCTCCTGGACAGCCCGGCCTTCAGGTACAGCTCATGTACACTGTGTTATTTGTGATGATCGCTCTCTCATCTGCACACAAAACCTTCATTTTTAATCCGTGTGTCATTTGTTCATTTGTTTTTCAATTTAAAACCAAAAATAACAAAACAAAAAAACAACTGTTTTCTTCACTATTTGTCTCCAAAACCAAAATGAAAAAACGGATAACGATTCATTTTTTCAGTTTTCGATTTTATGTTTAAATGAAGAATGGAAAAAATGGATAACGGCCGTTCCCGTCTACGTGACTTCCGTGACTGTGATGCCGGACTTTTGCACCGCATACGGACTGGACTGAGACTGAGACCAGACCGGGACTGAGACTGAGACCAGACCGGGACTGAGACTGAGACCAGACCGGGACTGAGACTGAGACCAGACCGGGACTGGGACTGAGAGACTGAGACCAGACCGGGACTGAGACCGAGACCAGGACCAGGTTGGGACCAGACCAGGACCAGGTTGGGACCAGACCGGGAACAGAGTGAAACTGAGACCGGGACCAGACCGGAGGCTCAGAGCTCACGGCAGGGCCAGAGCTCGAAGCTGAGACTCGGACCCCACGGAGGCTCGGAGTCAAAGCTCGGAGTCCGCTCTTGTCCCGCTCTGGTCCCAGTCTGGTCCTGGTCTGGTCACGGACCTGGATCAGTCCTGGTTCAGTCCGTATGTGGTGCAAAAGTCCGGCATCGCAGTCACGGAAGTCACGTAAATGGGAACGGCCGTTATGCATTTTTTCCATTGTTCATTTAAACATAAAATCGAAAACTGAAAAAAACGAATTGTTATCCATTTATTCATTTTGGTTTTGGAGATAAACAATGAAGAAAACAGTTGTTTTTTCATTTTCTTATTTTTGGTTTTATATTGAAAAACGAATGAACGAATGATACACGGATTATTTTTCACTCTCTGTTCTTTGCCTGAATTCGTTTCATGTGGATAGGCCCAGTAATTAGGCTCTGCAGTATCATAACATTATTTCCTTAGAGTGTATTTTAAAAAAGCTACCACAATCACAACTGACCCTGTGTCTCCAGAGCCTTCACCTAAAGACACATCCAAGATTTGTCTCATTCTCAGGAGGGCTGTGTATCGTTAAGAAGCTTCCGATACGATACATACCTCGATACATAGGCCACAATACGATACGCGTCTCGATACAGTGAGCTTTTGATTTGATACGATGTTTTAAATTGATTTTATATGGTTCAATAAAAAAAATCATGGCAAGTCTTTGTTAAACCACTTCTTGTGTAAAGTTCATATGAAACACAAACATTCTAATCATCAGAACAGTGAAAATGTCAAATGTGTTGCATAAATGAGTTTCCTTCCTCTAAAAAAGCAACAAAACTGTAGTGCTGTAACAAAATAATAAGTAAGAAATACCAAAATATACTCTTGGCGATATATTGATACTGCATTGTCACATTAAACAATACAATTTATCGATATTTCAATATTTTTGCACAGCCCTAATTCTCAGTTTATGGACAGGCCTCATGTGAAAGTTCAGAACCTCCAGAACAGGCTCGATCCACTAGGGGTGTAACGATATCCAAGTCTCACGATACGATATCGCCACAGTATGAACCTCATGGTACAATATGATATTTATTGTGATATTATGGGAACGCTCAAGATATGATGGAGAGGCTCACGTTCAGGGATGTAACAATATCCAAATCTCTCTGTACGATATTTTCACGATATATACATCTCACGGTACGATATTTATTACAATATTTTATGGAGACTAACTTGCTCCTTTTTCCTGTGACATAACTTATTCCAAAGAGCTAAGACTTAAAAGTGTTAGAACTGTTATTTCTTGTAGTCTACACTGAAATGGAGCAAGGAATCATGGTCTATGTAGTTCCCGCTGTCTTTTTTTAACTGTTGCTGCATCATAACTCTTCATGTAATTCGATATATTGTGATGATCCACGATATTGTAAGAACTCTGACGATACAATATCACAATATTTCAGTTATTGTTACATCCCTACTGTTCACGTTTACATCAAACTAGGAAGTCGTGTGGAAAGATGCGATGAAACTTGGTGTAGTGAACTGGTGTAGTTCTGACACTGGACTCACCGACCGACTGTGATCAAACCCACTGAAGTAAATGTAATAAAATAAAGACTGCAGACGTATGTGCTGTTTGGAATCATCTGGAGTTTGGCGTCTCTTCTAATCACATGTACCAGTGCACTCAGAGTTGTGTGTCAGTGGGGAAATGGTGAAAACTGAGGTGTGGTTGGAATTGTTGATTAACTGAACATAACAGAACTCTACAATCAAAACTGGGCGTGTGAAGTTGTAAACTCATCTTTCCAAATGTCTTCCTGGTTTGTGACATAAGTGTGAATAGAGTCTATTCCCTCCCTAAGCTGCAGAGGCTGCACTAGCACTGACTCGTGATGGTGCAGGTGCTGGGTTTAGGGAGAGACTGTTCAGATCAGAGAGAGACATTTTAGGTTTAAACACACTGGATTTCAGCATTGAAACTGTCAACTCAAATGGGAGAGTTGTATTTGGTTTGAACATGTTTGTATTTGGTTTACCTGCTGTGTGTGGCAAAGGTGGGGAGTTACAAGTCATGACTTGGACTTGAGTCAAACTCGAATCACTATTTTTAGGACTTGAGACTTGACTTGATAAAATGGATTAAGATAGGGCGACCAAACGTCTTTTCCCTGGACATGTCTGTTTTTTGCATTATGTCCTGGGCATCTGGGCTTTTTTTTTTTTTTTTTTTTTTTTTAAGTGATGGAAATGGCTGGGTTTTCATTTCCTTTCATTGTTTCATTGGGGACATTAAATTGAGCGGCTCTCGTAGCTCTCTGTGCACTCAGAAGGAGTGAGCAAAATGTGCATTTAACAATGACTTGTACAAGAAATTCTCCATTTTCTGTCCTGGTCGGGCCAAGTGGGGCCATGTGCACAGGTTGTGAGGTGAGAGTAGCTCAGTGTCGAGGCCCCATCCCCGGTAAGGTGTCTGGGTTTTCACAAACAGAAATATGGTCACCCTGGACTAAGATTTGAGACTCAACTTGGACTTGAGGCCTGTGACTTGAGAAGACTTGAAGCACTTTTAAATCTGAATTCTTTAATTCTGACCATAATGATTCACACCAAGAAGGAAAAAATAGCTAAATTAATTTCTATAACTCTTATATACTCACATAAATAAACTGTACTTAGAAAACTCATAGTAGTAGTAGTAGTAGTAGTAGTAGTAGTAGTAGTAGTAGTAGTAGTAGTAGTCATATAAATTGCAAAAATCTAAACTATATTTGGTACTGACTTGAAGCTCAAAGCAGACGACTTGGACTTGGCTTGGACTCATGGACCAGTAACTCGAGACTCAACTTGGACTTGCCTGTGTTTGACTTGGTACTTGACTCGGACTTGAGGTCAAAGACTTGAGACTTGCAAAACAAAGACTTGGTTCCACCTCTGTTGTGTGGACACAGTCAGGTGACATTTGTGAATGTGTTTGTGTGTGTGTGTGTGTGTGTGTTTGTGTTTGTGAATGTGTGCGTGCAGCTCTCTGTCTGAGGAGACCATCATGGACATCATCGCCTCCATCATGGTGCTGCCCAACAGAATGTGCTTCCCACTCATCGACCAGGTTAAAGTGGACCAGATGAGGTTCCCCATGCCCCGGGTAAGTACAGGAGATCCTCTGCATCATCTGACCTCCTGTGCTCCTCTGACCCTCACCTCCTCTGCTACTGTCTCTTCCTCCTCTCCTCTGTCCTCCTCTCTCTCTGTCCTCCTCTCCTCCGTCCTCCTCTCCTCCGTCCTCCTCTCTCTCCTCCTCCTCTTCTCCTCTTCTCTCCTCTCTCCTCCGTCCTCCTCTCCTCCGTCCTCCTCTCTCCGTCCTCTCTCTTCTCCTCTTCTCTGTCCTCCTCTCCTCCGTCCTCCTCTCTCCGTCCTCCTCTTCTCCGTCCTCCTCTTCTCTCCTCTTCTCTCCTCTCTCCGTCCTCCTCTCCTCCTCCTCCTCTCTCCTCCTCCTCCTCCGTCCTCCTCCTCCGTCCTCCTCTTCTCTCTCCTCTCTCGTCCTCCTCTCCTCCGTCCTCCTCTCTTTTCCTCCTCTTCTCCGTCCTCCTCTCCTCCGTCCTCCTCTCCTCCGTCCTCCTCTCTCTCTCCTTCCTCCTCTCCTCCGTCCTCCTCTTCTCCTCTTCTCTCTCCTCTCTCTCCTCCGTCCTCCTCTCTTCTCCGTCCTCCTCCTCTCTCCTCTCCTCCGTCCTCCTCTCTTCTCCTCCTCCTCTTCTCCTCTCCTTCTCCGTCCTCCTCTCCTCCGTCCTCCTCTCCTCCGTCCTCCTCTCTCCTCTGTCCTCTCTCCTCCGTCCTCCTCTTCTCCTCTCTCTCCGTCCTCCTCTCCTCCGTCCTCCTCTTCTCCGTCCTCCTCTCCTCCTCTCCTCCGTCCTCCTCTTCTCCGTCCTCCTCTCCTCCGTCCTCCTCTCCTCCGTCCTCTCTCCTCCTCCTCCTCCGTCCTCCTCTCCTCCGTCCTCCTCTTCTCCTCCTCTCCTCCGTCCTCCTCTCCTCCGTCCTCCTCTCCTCCGTCCTCCTCTTCTCCGTCCTCCTCCACCAGGGGGTGGTCCGTGTTCACCTGCTGGAGGCCAGGGACCTCATGGCTAAAGACACGTACATGATGGGGCTGGTGAAGGGGAAGTCGGACCCTTATGCCACGCTCCGAGTCGGCAACAGAAACTTCAAGAGCAAAACCATCAAAGAAAATCTGCACCCCAAATGGAACGAGGTCTACGAGGTCAGGCTTCCACTCTGCCTTTAGTCCTTGGTTTAGATCTCAGGGTTTAGATCTCTGGTTTAGATCTCTTGGTTTTAGATCTCTTGGTTTTGGTTTAGATCTCTTGGTTTAGATCTCTGGTTTAGGGTTTAGATCTCTGGGTTTAGATCCTCTGGGTTTAGATCTCTGGTTTAGATCTTTGGTTTAGTCCCTGGTTTAGATCTTTGGTTTAGTCCTAGTTTAGTCTCTGGTTTAGTCTCTGGTTTAGTCCTGGTTTAGTCCTAGTTTAGTCTCTGGTTTAGTCTCTGGTTTAGTCCTGGTTTAGTCCTGGTTTAGTCCTAGTTTAGTCCTGGTTTAGTCCTGGTTTAGTCCTAGTTTAGTCCTGGTTTAGTCTCTGGTTTAGTCTCTGGTTTAGTCCTGGTTTAGTCCTGGTTTAGTCCTAGTTTAGTCCTGGTTTAGTCCTGGTTTAGTCCTGGTTTAGTTTAGTCCTGGTTTAGTCCTGGTTTAGTCCTGGTTTAGTCCTGGTTTAGTCCTGGTTTAGTCCTAGTTTAGTCCTAGTTTAGTCTCTGGTTTAGTCCTAGTTTAGTCCTGGTTTAGTCCTGGTTTAGTCCTGGTTTAGTCCTGGTTTAGTCTCTGGTTTAGTCCTAGTTTAGTCCTGGTTTAGTCCTGGTTTAGTCCTGGTTTAGTTCTAGTTTAGTCTCTGGTTTAGTCCTGGTTTAGTCCTGGTTTAGTCCTGGTTTAGTCCTAGTTTAGTCCTGGTTTAGTTCTGGATCAGGAGCAGTCACTGGGGCAAAGTGGGCGGGGCACTCACTGCTGCCCCCTGCTGTGCTCAGTTTGTGGTGCACGAGGCCCCGGGGCAGGAGCTGGAGGTGGAGCTGTTCGATGAAGACACGGACAAAGACGACTTCCTCGGACGGTGAGAAGACCTCCCTCTCCCTAGACGACTCCTCTCTCTCCGCAGACTTCTCAGATCAGTTTGATAGATACTGTCCCATACGGTGCTCTACCTGATTTTCTTTTTCTTTTTTTGTCTGGAATGTTCCAGTATTGTATTAAACATATCCATCTTTACTAATAACATGAGCTTTTATTGGCTTAAAAAGTTGCATTCTTACTGTGAGTGGGCTGGCCCCTCCACAGATCTGACATGTAACTTGGCCCTATGGCATCACCTGCTAGGGATAGGTAAGTGTAATGCCATACTGTGGAACATTCCAGGCAACATCTCCAAGGAGAGAAGCTAATGACAGACCCTACACCAGAAAAGTGACACAATTTGAAGTGTGAGTAGAAACGTTGACATGTGTTTGCTGTGTGAGTGCAGGTACAATCTGGACCTGGGGGAGGTGAAGAAGAACAAAGTCATGGACCAGGTAAAGTGCTGGGTCAGAGCTCCTCAGCGCGCCGGGTTACCCTTTATTTATCTGCGTACATTTCTTTGTTTTGACTTCTTGTTCATCTGTATGTGTTGTTGTTGCAGTTGTTCACACTAGAGGGCGCTCAGACTGGAGAGATCCACCTCAGACTGCAGTGGCTTTCTCTGCACACTGACCCGCACCTGCTCAAAGAGGTACACAACACTCCTGTACCCCAACTCCAACTCACTACTGCTTTAACCCAGAGACACTGAAGGACGGGTCAAACGCAGGTTTAACCCGGAGACACTGAAGGACGGGTCAAACGCAGGTTTAACCCGGAGACACTGAAGGACGGGTCAAACGCAGGTTTAACCCAGGAGACACTGAAGGACGGGTCAAACGCAGGTTTAACCCGGAGACACTGAAGGACGGGTCAAACGCAGGTTTAACCCGGAGAGACACTGAAGGACGGGTCAAACGCAGGTTTAACCCGGAGACACACTGAAGGACGGGTCAAACGCAGGTTTAACCCGGAGACCACGGAGACACTGAAGGACGGGTCAAACGCAGGTTTAACCCGGAGACACTGAAGGACGGGTCAAACGCAGGTTTAACCCGGAGACACTGAAGGACGGGTCAAACGCAGGTTTAACCCGGAGACACTGAAGGACGGGTCAAACGCAGGTTTAACCCGGAGACACTGAAGGACGGGTCAAATGCAGGTTTAACCCGAGACACTGAAGGACGGGTCAAATCGCAGGTTTAACCCAGAGACACTGAAGGACGGGTCAAATGCAGGTTTAACCCAGAGACACTAAAGGACGGGTCAAATGCAGGTTAAACCCAGAGATGCTGTAGGATGGGTCAAATGCAGGTTTAACGCAGAGACGCTGAAGGACGGGTCAAATGCAGAGGACTCATTGTTGTTGTGTGTTTCAGACGAATGACGGTTTGGCCTGTGCCATGTTGGCCGTTTACCTGGACAATGCCTCTGGTCTCCCGGTGAGTTTAAACACACAAAAACATATTTGACATTTGACAGAAGCTCAGGTAAAGTGCAGATGACAAGAAAAGTACAAAAATACAAGAAGTGGCTCTGAGATGTAAAACAGAATCTGTGTTTTATCATCTACACGAACAAGTCCATCCAAAATGTAAGCTCAGGAAAGGAATTTTAAAGACAGTTTATTTCCTTCATTTGACTAAATAAACTTGTTGTCTTTTATTTCCATTAGTCTCATCATAACTTTCCACTTTCCATAGTTTAATTTAGACACGGTTTGGCCTTTGTTTACATTCTGGTTGCTAGGTAACAGTTGTGATATTTATAGTGGTAATAGACCTTTTTCACAACAGCCAAAAGTGCCGTGATGTAGAGTAAACCTCACTTCTGGTTAGTGCTTTTCTCTGGCAAAATATGTGTGTAAATGTGTGTCGTATTCTCCAGCAGCTTCATAAATCTGCCCCATCACCAAATCTTCAACCAACAAACTCCACAAAGAATAAACATTCTTCATGAACAATTTATCCACAACTATCAAGAGAAGAAAGACCAAAACTTAAAGGAAACAATGACGATGCATTAGTGACACACTCAACTAAACTTGTTGGTTGAAGATTTGGTGATGGGGCAGATTTATGAAGCTGGTGAAAAATACACACATTTCCACAGATATGTTGCCACAGAAAAGCATTATTGTAAGTGACGTTTACCTACATCACGGCACTTCAGCTGTTGTGAAAAAGGTCTATTCCACATCTGCTGCCATGTCCAACCAAGAAGTCAAATTGTTAAGTTAAAACTCTGCAGGATTTTTATTCATTTCTTAAATATAATGATGTTAACTATGTTGTTGTGAAATGGGAGTTCTAACTGACCCTCACATGAGTCCTGTGAGGAGAAACTTCACCTAAACACACAGGGAATGGAATTTAAACCTTCAACCCTTCTTTTTGTCCTGCTCAAGTTCAACTGAAACATGGTGGAATCAGTGGCTTCATGCTCTTTCTGCTGTTGTGTCCTTTGACTAAACACTTGACAGCCTTGTTTACTCTCTTGTATTGTGGTGTGTAGTTGGTCTTAGGCAATGTTGGGGAGTAACAGATTACATGTACCAGAGTTACGTAATCAGAGTACAAATTATGAGTAACTGTATTCGGTTACAGTTACTGTTTAAGTGAGTAGTAATTGGATTACAGTTACTTGGTTGAAATAAATGGATTATACTGAGATATTTTCCTGTTTTCACAAATTGGGCTATATCCCTTTTTTTTGTGGTAATTCCACTCATTGCCGGACACAAAATCAGGGCTAAAACCAGGTCCAAACCAGGTCTAAACCAGGTCTAAACCAGGTCTAAACCAGGTCTAAACCAGGTCTAAACCAGGTCTAAACCAGGTCTAAAACCAGGTCTAAACCAGGTCTAAAACCAGGTCTAAACTAGGACTAAACCAGGACTAAACCAGGACTAAACCAGGACTAAAACCAGGATCTAAAACCAGGTCTAAAACCAGGTCTAAAACCAGGTCTAAAACCAGGTCTAAAACCAGGTCTAAAACCAGGTCTAAAACCAGGTCTAAACCATGTCTAAACCAAGACTAAACCAAGACAAACCAGGATTAAACCAGGTCCAAAACTAGGTAAACTAGGTCCAAACCAGATCTAAACCAGGACTAAACCAGGACTAAACCAGGACTAAACCAGGACTAAACCAGGACTAAACCAGGTCTAAACCAGGTCTAAACAAGGACTAAAACCAGGACTAAACTATGTCTCAAACAGGATTTAACAGGACTAAATCATGGCGTGTGGACCATGTCTCCTCGTCTTCTATCAATAATATTTTTAATTTGGTTCAGTAAAGTTTGGGCTTTTTATTTTCTTTTATCAGACAAAATTTCTTATGTTACGATATCCTCGTTTTTGCTTCTCTACAGCAAATCAAGTAATCCAAAGTATTCAGATTATGTTACTCACGTTAAGTAATTTAATGGATTAAGTTACAAACTACATTTTGGGGTATGTAATCTGTAATCTGTAGGGGATTACATTTTAAAAGGAACGTTCACAACACTGGTTTTAGGACACCGTCACAGTGTGTGGAGTGAGTGATGATCTGTGAGGCAGATGAGCCGTGGTGTTCTCAGAGTGCAGAAGTGGACGTAGCCAACCCGCCACATTCCAAACAGGAAGTGAGCCTGGGTGTGATTCAGCTCCATCGATTCTGGCTCCAGTTCACGTTCTATTGAAAAAACCATTGCCCCTTTTCTCTGTAACTGCTGCTGTCAGGCTCTACATGATCCCAGGGTTTCTATTTCCAAGCTGTGTGTGACGTTCCTCTCTTAGTGCTCTTGTTTCACAGGCTGGGCTTGTTGGACAGTTGGATTTGAGCATTTCCCTGGACGAGCAGAAGCCTGTAGAACTCACTGAACACCACCTGTGACTTTATGCTGTTGCAGAAAAACATTGTGCTTTTTAAATTGAGTAATGGTCCCACTTTATGATGTTACTTCTTCCATTTATTGATACTTTGCAGCTGATGTCCTCAGCCTTCCATGGGGATGTGATGCTTACTGTAGGCACTGCACTGTGTGTGTGACAAATGCTTTTTAAGCTTTTTATTCCGTTTGACATGTTTGATTTTTAATATGAACCTGTATGTGTGTGCAGAAAGACCACAGTGAGTTCAGCCAGCATCAGAAACACGGCAAGCACGTCAAAGAGGCTCGGGTAAGACCTGTCACCCCTCATGTTCACTCCTCTTCACTCTGAGCACACGGCTTGGTCTCATCTTTACACACAACAAGGATGAGAAGCCCTAGCCTTAGCTTAGTCATGTACATGGTTATAAACACAGGTGGAATGTACATTTACTTGAGTAGCTTTTTGAAGTACTTTTCTAGCAGCATACACAGTACTCTTCTTGCAGTGCTCTTTCAGATCTGATTTAGTTTGTCTCATTTTTGTGTCTGTGCTTTGAAAACACCAGATTTTGTGCAATATTTAATGTTTTATTCTTCAAATGACATTAACTTTAAATTATAAATCATGTTACATCCTGGCAATTACTCTTGAGTAGTAATATTTCTAAATACTTTTACCACTTCTGTGTACTTCTACTTGAGTACTAATACTTTAAATCAACTTAGAGTTAACTTGAGTACTGCTCCGCTCACCTCTGGTTATAAATATTTGAGAGAGAGAATATTTGTTATCGCTTCAGTGGTGCGAAGTTACAATACAAAGAAAAACAGTGTCACATGGTTTAAAGTGTTAAACACACCCAGAGCCGCTCCAGTGAAACGCATCAGGACAAACCGGTGTGACAAAAAATAATGCGCACACACCCAAATCTGATTATGATTTGATTTCTGGACATTTGAGATTATTTCAAGGCTCCATATGACTCTCTTTTCTGATCTCTGTTCTAATGTCGTTTCCTCATCACACACAGACCTGGAGTTGTGTTTTCTTTCATTCACACGTTTGACATGTTTAACACAAACCCTGCACATTTAGGCTGAGTTCTTCTCTCAAACTGAAACTGAAAATACTTTGTTCCACCTTGTGATGTCATGTGGTAATTACAGAAAGTGCTCCAGTGTGTTTTCAAATCCATACGCCTTCACTAGAATCTTTTGGATGATTTCAGTCCTGAAAGTGCCAGTCTCTACTACAGGTAAAAGGGGCTGTGAGCTTCATGACACTACAGCCTCATGACATCACAAGGTGGTTTGTAGACAGACTAATAATGTTAGTGAAGCATGTGTGAATGAAACAAAAAACTATGTGTTTTGAAGCGATAACAACATGGCTTTAAGATCCAAGAGTCCAGTTGGTGTAATGTTGGACCTTTTAAACTAAGTGCAAACTAGAGGCGAGGCGAGACACTATTTGAACAACACGAGACACGACACTGGTCCACAAGGATGAGATTATGAAATTATGTATAATAATTTAAACAAAATCTGTGTAAATCAGATGCAAGACCCTGTAACATGACATGGCCCCTTTAGTCCAGTTCACTATATACTTTTGTGGGAATTTTGGGGGGATTTGCTAAACTATATATTTTTGGAAAGGTTATTGTGTATGAAGTCAGAAAATCAGTGTTTGCATTTGCTTAATGTCTATATGAATTTTTTTTTTTTAAATGGCCATCAAAAAACTCTTTTTGACATATCTCAGCCTCTGAATATTCTGAATTTTCAGCCCATATTAGAAAGCCTGCAACAAGTGTCTTTGTAATCATTCACATACTGAGATAGTAAATGTTTTAGTGAGTGGTATAAAAAAAAAATCTGTATTTTTTTGAAGAACAGCTGGAGCATGAAACGTGAACTTTTCATTACAAACATATTGCAAGAAAACCACCACACTGGGTTATTATTATCTACTCATGTACTGAAGTATTATATAGGTAATGTTGTGTAACTAGCACCCTTATATTGTGGGTTTAGCAGTAAAAACCAACATTTCAGTTTATTCAGAAGTCGAGATACTATAATTTTAAAATTTATGGCGGCCATTTTTTTTACTTTAATATGGCCACCATATAGACATCTGGGCAAATGCAAACATTGATTTTCTGACTCCATATACTATAACCTTTACAAAAATATATAGTTTAGCAAATCCCCCAAAAATTCCCACTAAGGTTAAAATGTGAATATAAGAACTGGACTATTATGCAGATTGTGAGTGTGGAAATCTACTGAAGAGCAAAATAAACGTCTGAAACAACAAGAGAAATCTTATCACAGGAAGAAAAAAACAACACTTTGTAACATGTCTTATCTTTGTTAAAACCTGCACATGTGTGAACACTCCAAGAAATCAGATTACGCACATGAGATGAGATGTTTAGTAATCGGACAACTCTGGAAATGGGATATTGATCAGACTTCCTGAGCCTGTTCACATAGACAGTTTGTGTGCAGACACTGGGGAGGGGTTTGACTCTGAAAGAATCTGTGGAGGAATGTGCCAGATCAAAGTGAGTTTCCTCACAGCACAGACACAAACCTGCTCAGCTCTGTGACCTGGAATTATCTTTGCTCTACTTTTACACACGTAGCAGTAGCAGTAGTAGTAGTAACAACAGTAGTAACAGTAGTAGTGGTAGTAGAATTAGTAACAACAGTAGTGGTGGGAGTAGTAGTAGTAACAACAGTAGTGGTGGTAGTAGTAGTAGTAACAACAGTAGTAGTAGTAGTAGTAACAACAGTAGTGGTGGTAGTAGTAGTAGTAACAACAGTAGTGGTGGTAGTAGTAGTAGTAACAACAGTAGTGATGGTAGTAGTAGTAGTAACAACAGTAGTGGTGGTAGTAGTGGTAGTAATAGTAACAACAGTAGTGGTGGTAGTAGTAGTAGTAGTATAAAAAGAAAACAGAAAACGCACACCAAGATTTCTGCAGAGGTGCAAATGCAAGGAGTAGCCAGATCAGAGTGAAAAAATGCATAGCACACTCGGTTGGCCGATGTCCAAATACTATTTTATTAACAAAATAACGTTTCGGCAAAAAAAAGCCTTCATCAGATATTTTTCTTGTCTTGGACCACAGCACACAAAATGGTTGCCAGCCCAGGTGCCCATATACCCACTCAATGAATGGGAGGTCCCAAAGTGAGGTCACCCAGTGAGTTCAGCCCATTCTACAACAAGAAACAACTGTTTACATAAAAAAACATTTTATAAAATACAGAAATAGTTTGTCTATTACAAAAAACATCTTAGATCAAACTCGATATTAAGTCCATGAGGAGTAAAAGTTTTAAGATGGTGAATCCAGAAGTGCTCTCTTTTTGACAGGAGCATTTCTAGATTACCACCTCTAGGGGGCAGTTCCACATGTTCGATGCCAATATATCTTAAGGAAGAGATAGGATGGTTAAAATCAACAAAATGAGCCGCCCACAGGATAGTTCATGTTTTTGCATCTGATTGTACTCCTATGCTCTGCAATCCGTGTTTTTAAAGCCCTGCTGGTTTTACCCACATAAGCCTTACCACAGGGGCAGGTGATCATATAAATCACGGACTTGGTGTTACAGGATATAATTCCTTTGATCTTTATTTCTTTACCAGTGTGAGGGTGCTTAAAACTATTGCAGCGATATGTATAGTTGCACTGACTGCACCCACCACAACGACGATTTCCATCAGGAATAGGAGTCAGTATAGTTTGGTGTGTGGTTTGATTAGGAGGAAGGTAGGAGTGCACAAGTCTATCTCCAAGGTTTCTTCCTCTTTTATACACCACAAGGGGGCGCTCTTTAAAAAGCCACACCCAATGAAGAGTCAGTTTTTAATATATGCCAATGTTTAGTTATGATGTTTTTAAGTTGTTCCGCGGGTTTTGAGTATCCAGTAGAAAATACAATCCGCTTATTGGCATTTTTTGGAGGGCTGACCCTCAGAAAATCAGATCTAGGTTTTCCTTTTACTTTAGTGGCAGCATCATTTAAAATAGATTTCTTATAACCCCTTTGTTCAAAGTTTGTCATCATATTACTTAAATTTCTTTCAAAGTCATCAGTTTTGTGGCATATTCTTTTAAGCCTACAAAATTGACTGTATGGGAGACTCTTTTTCAATGGAAGTGGATGCTGAGAGTCAGCTCTAAGTAAAGAATTTCGAGCTGTAGGCTTTTTATATAAGTCCGTATACAGCTGATTACCCTCTCTGATGATCCACAGGTCCAAAAAACTCAAGCGCTGTTGATCATAATCCATAGTAAAAGATATATATGAGGAGCGCGAGTTCAGATAAGCAAAAAAATGACTCAAGTCTCAATTTAGTACCTTTGAACAAGCAAAAAATGTCATCCAAATATCTCTTCCATAGACATATGTTTTCTTTGAATTCATTATCGTGATAGATAAAATTTTCCTCAAACAGACCCATGTATAAGTTACAGAAGGATGGTGAAAAAGGGCTACCCATAGGTACTCCGTGTTTTTGAATGTAAAAAGTGTCCTGAAAAACCCAATAGTTGTTTTTCAATATAAGCCACGACATATCCAGAATAGAATTCAAAGAGGGGACCTCAATGTTCAATTTGGTCACATAATGTTTCATTGCCTCCATACCCCCATCATGTGGAATGGAGGTGTACATAGAGTTTATATCAAAAGATACCAAATACCATTCCTCTTCACTGGAGACACAGTCTATAGATTCAACAAAGTTTATCATATGACCTGTGTCCTTTATGAAGGAAGGCAAAGCTTCAGCTGCAGGTCTGATAATACTATCAATAAAAATAGACAGATTAGATGTAATCGAGCCAATACTGGCTACAATTGGTCTCCCTGGTGGATTTTCAAGGCTTTTGTGTATTTTTGGCAATATATAGAAAGTAGGAATAATAGGGTAGTCCACTTTAAGAAAGCTATATTCATTTTCAGAAATCTCACCATTCTGTAACAGTACACTTAAAGCTTCATGAATAGAGTTCTTAAAATCATCTGTAGGATTACTTGGAAGTTTCTCATAGAATGTATTGTCTGATAATTGTCTCATGCATTCTTTTATATAGTCAGATTTGTTCATCACTACAATAGCCCCACCTTTATCAGCTTGTTTTATTATTATAGCTTCATCCTTTTCCAAATCATCTAAAGCAGTTTGTTCTTCCTTAGTTAGGTTTTTGTAAGTTTGAAAACTGTTTTTCTTTTTTAAAAGGGCATCAACATCCTGTTCAACTAATCTGCAATAGGTTTCAATTGAATTATTTCGATTAGGAGGAGGAATGAAAGTACTTTTACCTCTGAAATATTTTTTGGGGGTTGTATTTTCCGTTACAGACAAATCAGATGACAAAGACTGATGTTCTACAGACGTATTTTGCTTAAAAAATTCTTTGAGTCGTATATTTCTGAAAAACCTAAAGAGGTCTACTTTAACATCAAAGTCTTTAATATTGTTAGTGGGCACAAACGAAAGTCCTTTGTTTAAAACTGATATGTGAAAGCTAATGAAGAAATGCAAATGAAATTGTCAAAGGAAATCAAAGAAATCAAGATTCGGAAGTTCAACAGAGATAAAAATGATGCCCTGGAAGGAAAAACCTACCCCTGGAGATCAACAGAGAAAAAAGTGGTGTGGCGACAACAAAGGGAAGATTTCTCCTCTGACCAACTATCAACAGCATCGAGCTCTAGTTTTTTATCCAACAAGAGCATGCGCGAGCGAAACAGAGGAAGAAGACAACCACACAGACCAAAAGGCGCCCTACACGACGGGGGAAGAGGAAAAAGACCATGGACCCGGTCCAGGGTTCATCACCAGAAGAACTGACTGTTTTCAATCTTTCTAGTAAGTCACTGACTAAGTCCCACATATCAGTTTTAAACAAAGGACTTTCGTTTGTGCCCACTAACAATATTAAAGACTTTGATGTTAAAGTAGACCTCTTTAGGTTTTTCAGAAATATACGACTCAAAGAATTTTTTAAGCAAAATACGTCTGTAGAACATCAGTCTTTGTCATCCGATTTGTCTGTAACGGAAAATACAACCCCCAAAAAATATTTCAGAGGTAAAAGTACTTTCATTCCTCCTCCTAATCGAAATAATTCAATTGAAACCTATTGCAGATTAGTTGAACAGGATGTTGATGCCCTTTTAAAAAAGAAAAACAGTTTTCAAACTTACAAAAACCTAACTAAGGAAGAACAAACTGCTTTAGATGATTTGGAAAAGGATGAAGCTATAATAATAAAACAAGCTGATAAAGGTGGGGCTATTGTAGTGATGAACAAATCTGACTATATAAAAGAATGCATGAGACAATTATCAGACAATACATTCTATGAGAAACTTCCAAGTAATCCTACAGATGATTTTAAGAACTCTATTCATGAAGCTTTAAGTGTACTGTTACAGAATGGTGAGATTTCTGAAAATGAATATAGCTTTCTTAAAGTGGACTACCCTATTATTCCTACTTTCTATATATTGCCAAAAATACACAAAAGCCTTGAAAATCCACCAGGGAGACCAATTGTAGCCAGTATTGGCTCGATTACATCTAATCTGTCTATTTTTATTGATAGTATTATCAGACCTGCAGCTGAAGCTTTGCCTTCCTTCATAAAGGATACAGGTCATATGATAAACTTTGTTGAATCTATAGACTGTGTCTCCAATGAAGAGGAATGGTATTTGGTATCTTTTGATATAAACTCTATGTACACCTCCATTCCACATGATGGGGGTATTGAGGCAATGAAACATTATGTGACCAAATTGAACATTGAGGTCCCCTCTTTGAATTCTATTCTGGACATGGTGTGGCTTATATTGAAAAACAACTATTGGGTTTTTCAGGACACTTTTTACATTCAAAAACACGGAGTACCTATGGGTAGCCCTTTTTCACCATCCTTCTGTAACTTATACATGGGTCTGTTTGAGGAAAAATTTTATCTATCACGATAATGAATTCAAAGAAAACATATGTCTATGGAAGAGATATTTGGATGACATTTTTTGCTTGTTCAAAGGTACTAAATTGAGACTTGAGTCATTTTTTGCTTATCTGAACTCGCGCTCCTCATATATATCTTTTACTATGGATTATGATCAACAGCGCTTGAGTTTTTTGGACCTGTGGATCATCAGAGAGGGTAATCAGCTGTATACGGACTTATATAAAAAGCCTACAGCTCGAAATTCTTTACTTAGAGCTGACTCTCAGCATCCACTTCCATTGAAAAAGAGTCTCCCATACAGTCAATTTTGTAGGCTTAAAAGAATATGCCACAAAACTGATGACTTTGAAAGAAATTTAAGTAATATGATGACAAACTTTGAACAAAGGGGTTATAAGAAATCTATTTTAAATGATGCTGCCACTAAAGTAAAAGGAAAACCTAGATCTGATTTTCTGAGGGTCAGCCCTCCAAAAAATGCCAATAAGCGGATTGTATTTTCTACTGGATACTCAAAACCCGCGGAACAACTTAAAAACATCATAACTAAACATTGGCATATATTAAAAACTGACTCTTCATTGGGTGTGGCTTTTAAAGAGCACCCCCTTGTGGTGTATAAAAGAGGAAGAAACCTTGGAGATAGACTTGTGCACTCCTACCTTCCTCCTAATCAAACCACACACCAAACTATACTGACTCCTATTCCTGATGGAAATCGTCGTTGTGGTGGTGCAGTCAGTGCAACTATACATATCGCTGCAATAGTTTTAAGCACCCTCACACTGGTAAAGAAATAAAGATCAAAGGAATTATATCCTGTAACACCAAGTCCGTGATTTATATGATCACCTGCCCCTGTGGTAAGGCTTATGTGGGTAAAACCAGCAGGGCTTTAAAAACACGGATTGCAGAGCATAGGAGTACAATCAGATGCAAAAACATGAACTATCCTGTGGCGGCTCATTTTGTTGATTTTAACCATCCTATCTCTTCCTTAAGATATATTGGCATCGAACATGTGGAACTGCCCCCTAGAGGTGGTAATCTAGAAATGCTCCTGTCAAAAAGAGAGCACTTCTGGATTCACCATCTTAAAACTTTTACTCCTCATGGACTTAATATCGAGTTTGATCTAAGATGTTTTTTGTAATAGACAAACTATTTCTGTATTTTATAAAATGTTTTTTATGTAAATTGTTGTTTCTTGTTGTAGAATGGGCTGAACTCACTGGGTGACCTCACTTTGGGACCTCCCATTCATTGAGTGGGTATATGGGCACCTGGGCTGGCAACCATTTTGTGTGCTGTGGTCCAAGACAAGAAAAATATCTGATGAAGGCTTTTTTTGCCGAAACGTTATTTTGTTAATAAAATAGTATTTGGACATCGGCCAACCGAGTGTGCTATGCATTTTTTCACTCTGAGTAGTAGTAGTAGTAACAACAGTAGTGGTGGTAGTAGTAGCAGTAGTAACAACAGTAGTAGTAGTATTAGCAGTAGTGGAATTCGAACAGTTCACCCTCTGAACAGTAGGGGCACTGTGTGATGTAGTAGAAGTAATATAAGCCCTTTTTCAAATCGCTCTAATTTGGTATTTTTATTTTATATTTCTGAAAAATCATGACTATAAGCAGGTTTACGGGACTGAGGGTGAAACTGCCTGCAGTATGTGCGGTCCATTACTGCCCCCTGCTGTTCCTGTTGTCCCTCACACACTCCCTCTTCTCATCACCTGCTCTGTTTTGTTTTGCTTTGGAACCTGCACCTCAGATTTGCACACCGCCTCTGCTTCTTTCTCTGCACCAATCAGATCACGACAAAATCCAGAATCACTTTGCATCTCATTTGCATAAAATATTTGCATCCCAAAATCTATATTAGACGACTAATTATGTTGTTGAGATGATCAGGATGTCTACGGGACAACAGCAGAAAGGAAACGTGAGGGAGCTGAAGATTTGGTATTTTTTGTTATTTCATTGCAAAGAGTCAGATTAAACTCATGATTACTTTACAAATACAATATTCCCTAGTATTTTATTTCCTTGCATAAATAGCAGTCTTTGCATGAGCTCCCCCTGCAGGTGTAGTCTTGTGAGCACAGTTTTGGGTCAGATACTCAAAGATGCAGAATAGTTTTAAGAGTTTTTGCCACGCCCCCCTTTTTAGTTGACCAATCGACTGACAGCACATGTCTTCAGTCGATTACAGACGTGTCACAATCCCCTCCCTCTGCTGCTGTGCTGCTTTGAGCTTGTGCTGCTCCTGTTGCTCCTCCTTCTTTCGCTGCACTGACCAATCACACCTGACATACTGGATCTTTGCGTGGGAATCCTGCTCTGTGATTGGATGTTGCTGTTGTGATGTCACTACTCTTTTGCATACTCACTTTCTGCTCCTGGATCAGATTTGCATGGCCTTTTTGCCTTTTTGTAACTTTTTTATATTGCCAAGATTAATTAATAAATAATGATAAAAAAGTTAAAAAAAAAAAAAAAAGATGTTTTTCATTAGCAGTAGTGGAAGTAATAGTAACAGAAGTAGAAGCAGCAGCAGTAGTAGTAGTAGTAGTAGAGGTTCAGTTCAGTTCATATTGAAACCACTGTGTTGGTGCTTGTGCAGTTGACAAAGAGAACGGTGAACCCCAACTCGTTTGTGGAGCTGTCTGTGGATAAAGACGTGCAGAAGAGCAAGGTAAACATGGTCTTTAGAACATTTCAGTCCTGTTTCTTGTGTTGTTTCAAAGCTCTTGTGGTTTGTGTGTCTGCCTGCAGGTGGTGTACGCGTCCAAAGACCCCGTGTGGGAGGAGGGCTTCACGTTCTTTGTGCACAACATCAAAACACAACAGCTCCAAGTGCAGGTGAGAACCTCACTACTCACACTGAGCTTTGGAATTTAGCCAGAAAACATCATCAACCACAGCTGCCCTGGGGCAGAGTGACAGTAGTGAGGCTGCCAATCTGGACCATTGGCCCCTCCCACCACCAACACTCACACTCTACACTTTTACCAGGCACTTTTACTAAGAGAGGTGTCTTGCCACTGAGCCATGTAGTACTACTACAACTAGTAGTAGTACTGCACAGGGCAACTATTTGTAGTGGTATTACTTGTTGTAGTTGTAGTAGTGTGGTCAAACCTCCTCACCAAAGCTCTGGTCTGATCTGTTATATGAAGTAGAGCTGGGGCTGGTCTGGACTTTGATGGGAGATCTCTGGGGGTTCCAGGTGTCACAGTGGGGCAGCAGTGGCTAAAACTGTCATTGTGTCTTTAGGCAAGGCACTTACTTGCCACTTTCATAGCAGTCAAATTGGGTGGAGTGCCGATGGTGGTGGGAGGGGTTAATGGTCCAGACTTGCAGCCTCCGTTGTGTCAGTCTGCCCCAGGACAGCTGTTTCTACAATAGTACTAGTGGAGAGTGAATGAAGAATACACAGAAACAAACACATTATTATTATTACTAGTAGTAATTAATGTGTGTATTTGCAGGTTAAGGAGTAGTAATTGTGGTAGTAGTAATAGTACTACTAGTCGTAGTTGTGTATAGTTGTGTATATTTTTGTATATACTTGTGTATATTTGCAGGTGAAGGAGCCAGAGAAGAAGACTCCTCTGGGCGTCCTGACTCTTCCTCTGAGCCGCCTCCTGCACATCTCCAACATGACCCTGGACCAGCGCTTCCTGCTGGAGAGATCAGGCGCTACAAGTCAGATCAAACTCAAGGCCACGCTCAGGGTCAGAGGGCACAACACACACACTCACACTCACGCATGCACACACACACACATACATACATACACACACACACTCACGCACACACACACACATACATACATACACACACATACACACACACACATACATACACACACACACACACATACACACACACACACACACACACACACACACACGCACACACACACACATACATACATACACACACACACACACACACATACACACACACACACACACACACACATACATACATACACACACACACTCACGCACACACACACACATACATACATACACACACATACACACACACACATACATACACACACACACACACTCACGCATGCACACACACACACACACACACACATACACACACACACACACGCACGCACACACACACACACATACATACATACATACATACACACACACACACACACACACACACACACACACACACACACATACATACACACACACACTCACGCACGCACACACACACACATACATACATACACACACACACATACACACACACACACAGACACACACATACATACACACACACACTCACTCACGCATGCACACACACGCACACACACACACATACATACATACACACACATATATACATACACACACACATACATACACACACACACACACGCATACACACACACACTCACATACATGCATACACACACACACACATACACACATACATACATACACACGCACGCGCACACACACACGCGCACACACATACATACATACACACGCACGCGCACACACACACATACACGCACACACACACATACACGCACACACACATACATACACACTCACACACACACACACTCACACACACACGCAGGCACACACACTCACACACACATACACTCACACATGCACGCACACACACGCACGCACACACACACACCTACCCACATATGCACACCCACTCACACACTTACATACACACGCGCACACACACACACACACGCACACACACATACACACGCACACACACTTACACACGCACACACACCTACACATGCACTCGCACACACCTACACTCGCACACACCTACACACACACACACACACACACACACACACCTACACACACTCACACATACACACACCTACACACACTCACACATATACACATGAACACACACACACACTTACACACACGCACTCACACACACACACACTCACGCACTCGCACACACACACACACACACATGCGCGCACACACTCTCACATACTCACACATACACACATAGAGCAGCAGCACCTGATTTGTTATAAATGTCCATATCTTGATTTATGGATAAAATAGTGAAATAAAAACCCCAGGATCACGTAGAGAAGGTTTATACGAAATTTGTATTTCAAGTCAGAATGAGGAGCCTGACAGCAGCATTTACAGAGAGAATAAAAACTGAACTGAATTTCAGTCGATGGAGTTGAATTGGGGTCACTCTCTCTATTTGAAAAACAGCGTCTGGCAGTCTATGTCCATTAATGTTGGCAGTCTATACTGGGCTTGTAGAGTTTGCACGATGGTCCTCCAGCTCAGTCCACTTTACATGGAAGGATGAAACTTTACAGAGTGAATGTGACGTTGTCCAGTTGTGTAAAATGTAATAACAGCACACTTACACTGTTGATGTTTTTATAGATTCTGACAGAAGAGAAACCTCATCCTAAGATCGATCCAGCTCCGCTCAAACCCTCGACTGTGCAGACCAATCACAGCTCTCCTCCAGGCTCCGCCCCTCAGACAGCTAGCCACGCCCCTCCAAACCAGAGCTCTACCCCTCATGCCCGAAACTCCGCCCCCTGGACCCAGTCCCCGGTCCAAGTCCCGGAGTCCGGAGCTAAACCCCCGTCCCAGAATCCCAGCTCTGCGCCGGGCTCTCACACGCTGCGCTCCCCCTCCTCCTCCAGCATGAGGCGCTACGACTCCCAGAGCCTGCTGTCCGACAACTCCATCGCCTCGTCACGCTTTGACCTGGCGGAGGGCGCCAACTACCCCGAGTGAGTGTGACCTCTGAGAGCAGCTTATGTCTGTACGGGGACGGCAGTACTACGACTCCCCAATTTCACAGCCAAATTCCCCGTCCACACTGGATCTGCACATGCTCAGACGCCTCTGCACAAACACTGGTCACTATAGCAACACATACACCAACAAACTTTAGTATCATCAGCACGCGTAACTGTACTAAACCTGACCCGACACCTGACTGTACAGAAACTTTATATTATTTAAATCAAATCGGACAATGACAAATACTCCAACCTCTGAGGGGGGCTTATATGATGTAATGTTCCTCCTGTTGTAAATGATTGTGTGTGTGTTGTGTATTGTTCGTGATGTAAGTAGTGCTGTCATGCGATTAAAAAATTTGAGAGATTAATTAATTATGATCTGTAATTAATTAATCTAATTAATCTCATTTTAATCTCACCTAAAAATTGCTGAGAAAAGCCTTCAATTTGAGGTATTTTCATTTAAATTCATTATTACATTATTGTGGCAGATCAAAAGACTGATATAGAACAAAAAAAAAGTGACTTTATAAAGTCATTTATTGTTTAACAAATCTCTCCAAATTGGCTGTTGAGCCCAAGTCTCCATGAATAAGAAACTGTTTGCTGTAAAGTAGAAAAGACGAGGAAATCTGAACATAAAAACTTTTGTCTACTTAAAGACAATAAAAAGTCCAGTCTTTCCTTAACCATATTAAAAATATTATTGATAGAGAAATGCTTTATATATGAGATCACTGGTTTTAGTCCTGCTTTTAGTACTGGTTTAGACCTGCTTTAGTCCTACTTTAGTCCTAGTTTAGTCCTGGAATGGGTTAGTTCTGGTTTAGTCCTGGTTTAGTCCTGGTTTAGACCTGGTTTAGTCCTGGTTTTAGTCTTGGTGTTAGTTTTGGTTTAGAGGCGCACAGGAGGAAGCGCGGTTTACACAGTGTACGCGAGAAAATGTACGCGGCACACGGGAGGACAGCGGTGTCCACGCAGTAACTACGGAAGAAAATGTGGTCCGCGCGTTCTCAGGTTAATGACGATGATGAAGGTGTGTGTGTGTGTGTGTGTGTTGTGTGTGTGTTGTGTGTGTTTGTGTGTGTGTGTTTGTGTGTGTTTGTGTGTTTGTGTGTGTGTGTGTTTGTGTGTGTGTCCCCTCATGTGGCAGGTCATTATAGGACAGTAGTGCAGACATCATGAGTCTATGCAGGTTGTTTTCACCAGTGACATTTAAGTTGTAGGCGATTTTATATTTGTTATTTTCTTTTATATTTCACGTCGGGAGAAGAATTTCCAAGACACAAATGTGTTTTTACCTGTGCACTGCTGCTCTGTTCTACTGGCTCTTCCACCTCGTCCATTGTGCGACTGACGCCGCCAACGTTAACATGACGTTTACATCGCTCTTACTGCGCGCGTTTTGTGTGGGTTTCCGGCAATGAGTGGAATTACCGAAATAAAAAAAATTATAAATGTGTGTTTTTTGTGTGTGTGTGTGTGTGTTGTTGTCCCAACAACACATAAAAACAGATTTTATAATAAAGCAACTCGCATACAGAAACAGTAAAGTTAGAGATTAAAAATGAGATTAACGCGATTAAAAAACATAACGAGCTAAATATGACTGTAAATAATTAATCGCAATTAACGCGATAATTTGACACTGCTAATTGTAAGTAGATTGTGTGTGTGTTGTGTATTGTTCGTGTTGTAAATGGATTGTGTGTTGTGTATTGTTCGTGTTGTAAATGTTTTTTGCGTTGTGTATTGTTCGTGTTGTAAATGGATTGTGTGTTGTGTATTGTTTGTGTTGTAAATGGATTGTGTGTTGTTTATTGTTCATGTTGTAATTCGATTGTGTGTGTGTTGTCAGAGCTGTGAGGAACCACGGTGGCTCGTTCGGGGAGATCCATCTCACTGTGAAATACGCCACTCTCAGGAACAAGCTCATCGTGCTGGTGGACGCCTGCAGGTCAGTTTTCTAACACACAAGGCAGTGGAGTTTGGGCTGTGCAAAAATATCGAAATATCAATATATTGTACTGTTTAATGTGATGATACAGTATCGATATTATAGGCTGCTGTATCAATATGTCACCAAGAGTATTTTCTTGGTATTTTTTACTCAGTTATTTTGTTACAGCGCTACAGTTTGTTGCTTGTTCAGAACAGAGGTGGCGCTACCATTAGACTACAGTCGGCAGCTGTCTAGGTCACGGGTGTCAAACATACGGCCCGGGGGGGATCCGGCCCTCCAAGACCTTTAATCTGGCCTTGGCTGATTTTCTACTAAAATATTTTTATTATATTTTAAAACTTGAAGACAGAATTTGCAATTTTTTGCACACCATCCACAGTCAAAACCTCTGATGTGCTGCAGACATGCAACTCGAAATAATAGATTTACACTCACTCCCTTTGTGAGCAGGTTTTCACAGTAATGAACATGAATAAAACAAAGCTGCACTCAAAGCTGAACACACAACACACAAACACCTGAATGACATTCTGAAGACAGCAGCTCCTCAGGACCTGGTGCATGATATTGATGCACTTGTACAGGCTAAAAGATGCCAAGTTTCAGGAGCAAAAAGAAAGCATGACTAAATTCTATGAAATGCATACAAGTTAATGTTATAATATTGTTGAAATTGCATTTTTCTTAAAGTTTCATGTTGTTCTTAATATTATAATATTTTGTAAAAGAAAGAGTTCGTCAATTAAAAAAGATTTCTCTAATAGATTTGCGTTTCTCTTTACAAATATTATGGTTTAGGGTTAGGGGCTCCCCAACCAATTGTCCTCAGTGCCACTAATGACCGAGGCTTCAGAGCAATTTGATTTTGTCTCAATATGACATTAAATGAAAGTAGTTTTACTTTTGAACAAGAAAACACCATCAAAATAGTTTCTGATTTACAAATCTATTTTAACTGTCAATGCATCTCCACTTTCACGTTAGGAAGGACTCGTCAGCTTGACCCTGATTTGAACAGAATCATAACAGAATCATAATCGTACAGAATGGATGTAAACAAAAATGTAATTGTACTAGCAAAAAAAGACAAGTTTCCAATCCACCTTAATTCAAATAAAGATCTATGTGTCTCATGAACAATGGGAAAAAAACTGACAATTAATATAAAAAAATACAAAAAACCCCAACAGAACAGTGCATTGTAGTTAGGGCCCCAAACTCAAGTTCGCCTAGGGCCCCCAAATTGCTAACTCTGCCACAGGTTCAGAGGACGGAAACTGGTTTATGCGATACATTTGACATTTTCACTGTTTTGATGAAGTGATTTAACAAAGACTTTTAATATCACAGCCATGATTCTGTCTTTTATTTCTTATGGAACCGTATGGAATCAATTTAAAATATATCGTATTGAACCGAAAGTGGGTAGGTATCGTATTGGCAACTTCTCAGTGATACCCAGCCCTAGTGGACTTGTTTGTGTTATTAAGTTGTTTTACATGAGTATTGTGATTTAAAATGCCCAAATTCTAACATAATGATCCACAGGTGTCTGAGATAGAGCTATATACTGTAACTATACGTACTTGTTGTATACTATATGTAGCGAGCACACACGAGCACAGTATATCTGAGTTAAGGTCATGTTTGTCCTGTGTGTGTGTGTATTCCCTCAGAGACCTGTTTCCGTGCAGTGAAAATGGCACAGATTCATACGTTCGTCTGTATCTGCTCCCGGATCAAACCTGGACTCACAGAAAGAGAACTCACGTGAAAAAGAGGACCCTAAACCCGGTCTTCAACGACAAGTAACTCATCTGCTGATCACTCCCAGTTTAGTTAGTTTTGATTTAGTCCTGGTTTAGTCCTGGTTTAGTCCTGGTTTAGTCCTGGTTTAGTCCTGGTTTAGACCTGGGTTAGACCTGGGTTAGACTTGGGTTAGATCTAGTTTAGAATTGGTTTAGTCTTGATTTAGTTCTATTTAGTCCTAGTTTAGTCCTGGGTTAGTCCTGGGTTAGATTTGGTTTAGAATTGGTTTAGTCTTGATTTAGTCCTGGTTTAGTCTTGGTTTAGTCTTGGTTTAGTCTTAGTTTAGACCTGGGTTAGTCCTGGTTTAGATCTGGGTTAGATCTGGTTTAGAATTGGTTTAGACCTGGTTTAGTCTTGGTTTAGTCCTGGTTTACTCTTATTTAGTCTTGGTTTAGTCTTAGTTTAGAGCTGGGTTAATCCTGGTTTAGTCTTGGTCCAGCCCTGGTTTAGACCTGGTTTAGACCTGGTTTAGTCTCTGCTTAGTCTTTGTTTCTTGGTTTAGTCCTAGTCCTGGTTTAGTCCTGGTTTAGTCCTATTTAGTCCTTGTTTAGTCCTTGTTTAGTCCTTGTTTAGTCCTGGTTTAGTCTGGGCTTAGTTCTCACCTCTGGGTTGCAGGTTTGAGTTTGACATCTCTTATGAAGAAGCTAAAACTCGGAAACTGGACGTAGCTGTAAAGAATCACAAGATGTTCCACACGCGAGAGAGGAAAGACATCGGCATGGTCAGAATCTGCACATTTAAGCCACAGTGTCATTTCTCAACTCTGCACTGTTTTTCACCCGGTATCGTTTGTCCTCAGGTGATGCTGGATCTGGCTCAGCTGGATATTATGAGAGGAGTCACAGACTGGTAAGTCCACTCTGCACACTCTATATATGAATGGACATCGCTGACCCGCTCTAATTTATAAAAAAAAAAGAAAAAAAAAAGAAAAAGAAAAGCGTATTACTTTTTTGAGCACATAAATCAGATGTCACAGAAAGAAAAAAAAAAAAAAGCAGTAATGTAATGTGACCATCTTCCCCTCCCCCAGGCCCCCCTCCCATTACCCTCCCCCATTGTCTCCAGAGACAAGAAAGATAAATAATATTACAATAATAATAATAATAAAAAAAAAGAGAATATAATAATAATGAATTAAGGCAGATAAAGTAATAAAATATATAAATAAATAAGTATAGGGAACAGAGTGAAATAAAAATAAATACTAGGAAAAAACTATCTTATAATATTTATACATACGTGCAAACATACATACATAACACACACATACATATACATGTATCCCCTACATATATCAACATATATACCCCATCATCTATACATTTATATATCTATACTGAAAAAACAAAATCCAGTGAAGTTAAGATGACTTGAATTAAGAAGTAAGAGGAATATTTATCATCATTTGAGTAAAATGATCTGCCAGTGGAACAAGTCTTTTTGTACTTAAAATATTAAAATACATCTGCTACACGTAAAATAGGAAAAATAACCACCTTTTGCACTTAAAATAATTCAAGCAACATTTGATTTTGTTTAAGAAAAACAAACTTACTCCATTGATAGACAATCTGACTTGTCAAATTGAATCTTCTCAAATACAGTAAAATGTTTAGATATATATATTTTCCAGTATTTCACATCATACATGTACATATGTATAAACACACATATAATAAATAATAAATGTTTTTAAATAAATAATATAAATAATAAATGAGTTTGTCTTAGTTTAGTAATAGTCCTTATAATCAAGGAATTGTTTCCATATCTTGAAGAAAATGTCTTGCCGCTGCTGTAATCTATAAGTCACCCTTTCATAGTTTGCATTTTTAAGCATAAATTCTAGCCAGTTATTGAAAGATGAATGATTAGTGGTTGATTGATTGAGTTATCATCCATCCTCCTGTTATAAGAGTTATTCTACACCACAGAGTTTGTTTGTACAGTAGTTGTTTTGTGGGTATAATTCCAAGTAAACAATGCAAAACAAAAACACTCAAATTCATTTTCTATTGAAAAATTGTGGCCCCTCTCTCTGTAACTGCTGCTGTCAGATTTGTGATTTTGGTCTTAAATTGTTCATATAAACCTGCTCTACAAGATCCTGATCCTACAGGAGTTTTTATTTTGCTATTTTGTCCCTAAATGAAGATATGAACATTAATAACAGACCAATCAGGCGCCTTTTTCTCCCGAGGTCGCTCCCACTTAGCGTTCGCAACCGGTTTGATTGACAGTTTTGCTAAGCACCCGCTCCCTGCCAAACCAGTGGTGTGGGCAGGAAGAGGTTTTACCTTCAACAGCCTTGCTCCTGATTGGTTGCTATGATACACGTGATCAGATTTCCAAATATGCAACTCTGCTTCAAATTCGCTGCTTTATCTGCTAGCCTCGATGGGTTTGATTTGGAGCTGAGCGCTGTGGTGACGCCGCACTCCTTTAGTCCACTGCCTTATACAATCCATGTCCACTGTCGGGTTTATTCGTTTGTTTCTTACCTCTCTTATACGTTCTTGTTTTTCCTGCAGGTTTGAGCTCTCACTTCCAGGGCTGAAGAGATAGAACAGAAACTGGATTACCAATAGACATATAATGAACAGTGTGTACAGCCTTCACCAACAGATTTATATCATAACAAATATACAACACAATTCAGTCTAAAGCAAGTCTAGACTTGGATTTAGTCCTGATTCTTCTTTAGACCTGGTTAATAGAGCTGGTTTAGTCCTGGTTTTAGACCTGGATTTGTCCTGATTTTACACCTGGTTTAGTTCTGGGGTAGACCTGGTTTAGTTATGGTTTAATTAGTTCTGGTTTAGTCCTGATTTGGGCCTAGTTTTAGACCTGGTTTAGCCCAGGATTTAGACTAGGATTCATCCTGGCTTTACACCTGGTGTAGACGTGGTTTAGTCCTGGTTTACTCCATGTTTAATCCTGGTTTACTCCATGTTTACTCCATGTTTAATCCTGGTTTAGTCCTGGTTGCTTCCAATTCAATTGACCAAAGTGCCACTGAATGTCTTTGATTCAAAATAGACACCTTTGAATGGTGCTGTTACTTCTGGTTTATGTCTAATTTACTGAACGAATCCTGTTTCATTCTATTTCACAACAGAGAAATGCAGATGATGATAATAGTTTGATAAATACTTGTGTTGTGTTTGTATCATAGTGGGGGAATGTGTGTAGTAGAAAATCCTCTATGTAAAAATAGCTTCACTCCAAGTTCTGGTAAATTGTCTTCCATATTTTTTTTTACACTTTAAAATTGCACTAACTCTAAAAGTAACTTAACTCTGCTGTAAATGTATGTTACAAAGCCCACGTATGCTGCTGTTTGCTCCAAGTGGATGTTTTTGGTAAATTTTTTTTTAATGAACACTGTTTTATTTAACTTTCCTTTATGTTCTTGTGTCTTTCTACGGATTATTTGAACTGTAAACACTGTTGAAATAAAATTTTAAAAAAAGATAAGAAGTGTGGATGTTCTTTATTCGTGATACAACTAAAACTGAGACTTTGCATCTGATGTCGTCAACTGGCGTGATGTTAACTGGCGGCACTGCTCTGTCTGAGGATTTGTTAGCTTTGAATCGAAGCTTTATTTGAACTTTCCATAAAGAACTGATTTCTCTCAGATAACATTACAGTCACAAGACTACCTCGTATTAGCCCACATTTTTTCAGTGAGTCACTGTCATCGTTTTGTTGAAAATCAAACTCCTAAACAAGATCATGAACGCTCGCCCTGAAAATGTGCTGTTTAAATCAGTTTTGTATTTTTATCTAAAGACTTCTTAACCCATTTTTTGCTAATGTGTGCATTGTGTCACCATGGTAACTGATGAACCTTCTGCCATACACATACATGTAGATCACCCCCAGCGTGATGTCACTGCAAAGTATCAGTAATACTGACAGTGGGCGACAGTAGCTCAGTTGGAGCATTTGTCCACTGAGCTGAAGGTTGGAGGTGCAGTTCCAGCTCCCACAGATGAATGCTGTCGTCGTGCCCTTGGGCAAGATACTTAACCCACGTCGTGACGTGTTTATGCACTGGTGTGTGAGTGTGTGTGTGAATGTGTGAGTGGTTCCTTGTTGTAAAGAACTTTGAGCCTTGAAGGTGGAAAAGCGCTGTATAAAAATGTGACCATTTACCATTCAGTGTGTAATCTACCACTCTGTACAAAAACATGTGTGGATCTTAACTGGAAATTTTATGTAATATTTCATTTAGAAAGAAAGAAAGAAATCAGTCCAGTCCCAGGTCAGGTTTAGTCCTAGCTTCAGTCTGGTTGATTTAGTCCCACTATAGTTCTCTCCTAGTTTAGTCTTAAGTAGGTTACTCAGGTAAACGTACTTTCAGCCCTGATTTTAGTCCTGGTTTGAACCTGGTTTAGACTGATTTAGATTTAGTGCATCATTCCTGGTTTTAGTCCTGGTTTAGTCATGATTTGGCCCTGGTTTAGAACTGGATTAGTCCTGGTTTTAGACCCGGTTTAGTCCAGTTTTAGTCCTGCTTTTAGCCCTGCTTTTAGCCCTGCTTTTAGCCCTAGTTTAGCCCTAGTTTAGCCCTGGTTTAGCCCTGGTTTAGTCCTGGTTTAGCACTGATTCAGTCCTGGTGTAGACCTGATATTGTCCATTCTTTAGAGGTGAGCGAACTTCCTTAGCAACGTCCCTAGCAACGGCCGGACGTCCCGCGCCAACGTCTGACTGTAAGGTTACACCGACAGAAACTCAAGAAAAACTCCACAAAACCGCGACTAAAACCGCAGTAACCTCATAAAACATGGCCAGCGCACAGGTAAGACCGGGGCATGTGTGAGCTAATACTGTGCGGTCGCTTTAATGCTCATTTTAAGGACGTTTTCCATCAAATGAGGACGTAAAGACGAGCTAACGTTCGAATTCGGATGTGACCGGATGTAATGTGACCTCCGAAACTCCTAATTATGAAGTTTTTCACGATCGAATCTATAACAGTCACATCAACAAAATACATTTATTACATTTTATTTGGCCCACTCTATTTTGATTGTTTCCATCGTTTAGTCCGGGTTTAAAGATCCAGTATTTCGCATATTAAACTCCTGTGACCTGGAGTTGTGTTTTGTTTCATTCACACGACATGAGTAACTCTTTATTATTACTCTGTTTACATCTCCAAAGCTCAAAATGCTCTGTTCCACCTTGTGATGTCATACAGTGGTAGTTTTCAAGTGAGCAGCTCCTTTTACCTTTAGTTCAGTAGACTGACAATGACATGATCCAAATGATTCTAGTGAAGGTGTATGGAGTTTAAAAACACAGTGGAGCACTTCCTGTATTACCACATGACATCACAAGGTGGAACAGAGCGTTTTGAGCTTTGGAGATGTAAACAGATGAATAATAAACGTTTACTCATGCCATGTATGACTGAAACAAAACACAACTCCAGGTCTGTCTTTAATTCGTCCTGGTGTAATCTTTTAGTCCTTATTCGGTCCTGGTTTAGTCCTGGTTTAGACCTGGTTTAGTCCTGGTTTAGTGCTGATTTAGGCCTGGTTTAGTCCTGGTTTAGACCTGGTTTAGTCCTGATTTAGACCTGGTTTAGTCCTGGTTTAGTCCTGGTTTAGTCCTGGTTTAGTCCTGGTTTAGTGCTGATTAATCCTGGTTTAGACCTGGTTTAGTCCTGGTTTAGTGCTGATTTAGACCTGGTTTAGTCCTGGTTTAGTCTTGGTTGAGTCCTGGTTTCATCCTGGTTTGTGTGTGTCATTATAATGGAGTCTTATGGGGTTATGTGTTGTGTGAATGTTCCAGGATCGTGGTCGTCCCAAAGCCGTGGCACAAGTCTTTCCTCCTCAACAGAACCAGGATCAGGGACTCTCTG